ACACACCTGAGGTTGAAATACCCGATGCAGTGCCTACTGAGTGATCGAGTTAGTAGGCATCCGACCTGTTCTTCGGTAAGGTAGCCACCGGTCAGTACGTGGGCGATAAACCTGGCGAACAAACAAACTCGAGATGATAGAACCTATATATTGTCTATACGTCACTGAATATACTACTGTTGCCATCTCTTGCACCGTTGAACTCATAATTATGTACATAATTATGTGTTAATATCGTTGCAGGACGACGCATTCACAAACATTTGTTTTAAATACTTGCTAATTAACCGTCAACATACAATTACATGTATCTATTCTAACCCGAAGTAGACAATTATAACCATCTCTATGGCCGTCATACATATATAATTGCCATCAATGGTGCGATATAGATGGTAACAACAAGGTGTTCCTCCACTCCGACAATCTGTCGGGTTGTGAGAATTCGCCAATTCTCCACGTAATTCCAAGCATTAAGTTGTTTCATCGATGTAATTATCATGTTTAAACATTTCATAACATTATGTTAAATCTGTTTTACTTTTCACCAGTTCACATTCCCGATTTTTTCTTTTAAACTGAAGATCGTTACCTAGTATATTTGTTTGACACCTAGCATTTTAAATCTGTGATCTGTGTGAAAAATATGTCTAATTCAAATGACATTTCCTCAACTTACTTCACATCTTAATTTCAAGGTGTTACCACGATCTTACTAGCCCGTGATTTCCGCCCTCCAACCCCATGAGGGCTGAGACCAATTGTTTATACGCCCATTAAGCATGCATCACAACTAATTTGGAGAGAATCCAGACATTCCTAAAAAAAAGAGGGATTTTAGAGAATTTGCTATATTTCTCCTATTAGACCCCGCCCCTCTCACCCCAGAAGGCCTAAATGTACAAATTACACAAAATTGTTTTAGTTTCACCCTAGGATGCTTCAGAACAGATTCCCCTTCGCCCAAGTATAAGTTCACATCAACTTTGGTCAAAATCTCATCATTCTCACAGGAAGAGTAAGATTTTAATGAATTTGTTTCATTTCCCTTATTTGATCCTACCCCCTCCCACAACAGGGGGCTGAGACTTACCACTTTTATCAAATCAATCCTCTTCACCCACGGTTGTTTCAGATCAAATTACGGCAAAACCCAATCATTCCTACAGAAGGAGTTATATCTTAAATAATTTCTCTATTCCCCTTATTCGGCCCGGCCCGAACTCTCATATGGAAAGATCCACTGTTTGTACAAACTGACTTCATTAAACCCAAGGATGCTTCAGCCCAAAACTTAGGCAATATACAGCCATTCCTACAGGAGAAATAGAGTTTTGAAGGACTTGCGAAATTCCCCTTCTGAGCCCTGTTCCTGAGACCTCAGGTCTGAGACTCACATTTTTAAGAAACTTGACTCCTCTTTCGCAAGGATGCTTCTGACCAAAATTTGGTAAACATCTGTTCAGTCGTTTATAATAGCAAGCGATATTAAATCTTTAAAAAGTCGACGGACGACGGACGATGGAAGACGGAGTATGGACGCCGCGTTATGGCATAAGTTCATCGGGCTTAAAATTTTTTTTACTATAAGAATCATAAAGCTCAATATTTGACGAAATATTGTTAAAAACAAACTAATATGCCAACACTGCATATTAAAACACAAAAGAGCTCTTAACGCACAGAAATTTTAACTAGACGTTGTATTGATTAAGTGAAGCAAGCTGCCCTTTGCTGAAAACAAGACTTCACAACCGACCACAATACGGACGTCTTTGATATCTTTAAAAGCTGAGATAATTTGTCGTAATTTGCTTCACTTTTTATTGTCACGTTGCAGATCTATTTTCATTCTGTGTGTACACCAAAGTCGGAGCTCAATCAGCATCAACAATATTGATGATTAAGACTCTATTGTTACTGCAGCTGAAAGATTGACAATGCCTTGAAAACAAGGATAGTCATCGACCAGCAAATCAGGTATGGAAAGGGAATACTGTAATTTTCAGAGGAAACATGATAGTGAGCGGTGAAATGAGCACGTAGGATTTAATCAAAGTACTGACAGTCTGAAAACATGCTCGCTTCATTTTAGCACTGTTATGTAGAACTTCAAAAGGTGCGGATAAGGTATATGTATAACAGAACCCTTGGCCATTAAAGGTTGTATAATCTTATAAGCAAGGAAAGGTTCTATATATCAAACGTTTAACCATGTTTCAGGTGCAAGTCAAAGATATGACTCGACATAACCGTAGACAAAGACTGAAATAATTTGATCACACACTCGCGGATCATTACATTGTATTGATAACGTTAGAAATGACCTGCGCATTTTTTCCGAGTGACGATATCTACTTCTGTACAATACAGAGCTGTATGAAGTATCAAAAAACGGATTGAAATAATTTAAAAGATGAAATCAAATTTTTTAAGCGATAGTACTTTTTCATCGGGGCCGAGGATATCAATAAATACCTACCTTTGAGTATTGAGTATAATACCTTGTCATGGATAAGATGCCCCATTTGTACCTCTTCCTGGTATCTTACACATCTACTGGCAATCATACACTATGTCCTGATCTGAAATACAAACACGAGATCTTAGAGGGACCTTGGTGCCTACCATTCTTTATTCCCATCTTTCTCTTCATTCCTCTGATTTTGCTAATATCTATATGAAATTCCAAAATTCCTCTTTATGAAAAGGAAATATTTTAACTGTAAAATCTAAATGGTCAGCTGTCGGTCATTTTGTTTTTCTGATCAGTTCCAAAATCAGAAGAACATAGCTTGGGACCATGTGGAACCTAAATACGATATTTGAGAAAATTTATCCAGTTCTTCTCAAGAAACAACAATAACAAACTTTCGTTGTCGGAATTCAAGATGGTCACCTATCGGCATTTTGGTTTTCTTATCAATGCCAAAATCAATCAATCACAACCAGGGACAAACTGGAACGTATCTATTAAAAAATTGAGAAAGATCCGTCATTTTTTAAAAAGAAATAGTGATAACAAACTCCATTTGTCAAAATCAAAGATAGTGGCCCAATACATTTGATCAGATCAGTCACAAAATAAAATGAGAACAGCTACAGACTAATGGGAATTCACATATGAAATATGAGTAAGATCCATTCACTACTTTTTAAGAAATAGCGATAATATACTTTCATTGTCAAAATCCAAGATGGTCGCCAATCAGCCATTTGTTTTATGATCAGTCCCAAAATCAAGCGGGCACATCTAGGGACCAAGGGACACCTACAAATGAAATTGTACTTCTTGTAAAGAAGTGTATTGTTTTAGGGCGAGATCAACTACACAGTACAAATTATTCTTACCAAGAGCACATTCTGAATGAGATAAAAATAGGGGGATGGGGGGTGGGGTTGGGGCGGGTGGTGGGGCGTTTCCTTCATGATACAGATGGGTGGACAGACAAAGGATGGACCACAGAGGGATAAAGGGGATAGGCCTTAGACAAAGGGCCTACCATCTGATAATGTCGTGCTAAATACGAAGCAATTCCTGGGATAAAAAAGGGGATTAAAAGCAACATTATCATAGTTATATTTGTCTTTGTCAGGTCTACAGTTCATTGTTGCCTGCCAGATCATTTTAACAAATTCATCACACTATGAAGTTAATAAAATCACTACAACGTTTCCACAAGAATAACTTAACAAACAAGCTATTGTTTACTTGAATGAAATTGAGACTTTATACATATTTGGAGTACTTGCTAATATGTCAATCACAACCATGAAACAACATTTTAGAGAGTAAAAGTCAAAATTTATTTTTAAGAAAACTTTCAACAGCAGGTGATTCTGTAACGTTGAAAAGCACAAGTATTAACATTTAGATAAATGCACACAAGAAAATGGCAGGACAGAGATATCAAATCACAATCTAAATTCTTACATATAAATGTATAACAACAGCATTGTGAGTATAATCATAAATTTAACAAGCACAAATGGCAGGAATTATAGTAAGCATGGTATGATATGTTAAAAGCTTATTCACACCAAATTTTGACCATTATATCTGAAACAACACATTGTCAAATGGAAAACGTTAATAGGTCCTTCATATGAGAGATGGACGTTTATTTGTTTGTTTTTTTTTTTTTGAGGAGGGGGGGATTATTTTAATCTACATGAAAAACAATCATATATTTAAGTATAGGCACTTGTAATCAATCAGTTGTTTTATAATTGAAAGCAAAATGCTTGGATTATGTACATAAAACTGACATTTTTCAATCTGATTTATTTATTTTATATATGGGAATACAAAGGGATATTTTTTCCACCTTGATAAGACAGATATTCATCTTCTCCGATTGATAAATGTGCCTTGAAATACATAATTATGTATACTTCAGCTTTAATTACAAACTTCATTCCATATTTCATATTTGCCTAACAAGAAAAACAGGATGGTCAGTCACTCAGGTAGGGCTTATTACATTTCTCTTTTAATTGCGACAAAATTTAAACTGCAGCGAAAGCTTCAACATATTCAGAGTTTAGTGTCAGATACTGCTGATTGAAGAAAAAAAAACAAGACTGAAAACTTCACAAGTATATTAAACAGGTAGAATTTTAAGGTCAAAAAGATCATGAATAATATCTCCTTACAGTATAATAGTAAACATGTAGAACAATACATTTTAATATCATTTTTATGATCCCCAATGTTAAATTCCTTAAATTAGATTTTCACTGTATTCTCATTAAAGAAACCAAACATTAGATATTACTGTTGGTTCAAAAAAACGTTTTTCATGAAAATAGTATTTGAAAACAAGTCAAGCATGTAAGATCAAATCTTAGTTTGTTTATTTTTTTAAATACATTGACTAATTAATAAAACAAAAAACTGACTCCATTTTCTTTAATTTGAAATATTTTTTAAAATACATATTTATTATGAAATGCAAATAATAAAAATGAAAAAAATAAAACTTCAAAGCCACTGTAAGTATTTTTGAATGCATTTAATATTAACATTCCAAATTCAACAATTTTTTGAAGCTCATATAAATGCAATTTATGAAACCTGTCTATATATAGCAGAATATATTTGTGTTCAAAATAGACAGGTTCATAATTCATACAAGTTTGGCCTTCAAAATGCATGTTTTTCCAAATATTATGTTTGCTCACAACAGGAAAACAAAATCATTCATGTCATTTAATTGAAGAACCATTAACAAAGAATGATCCTAGCTGTCTGCTGATTGTAAATGAGAAATGTGCACAAAATTTCTCAGAAAAAACATCAAACGATGCAAAGAGGTCTGGTTTACAGAAGTTTCTTGATTATTAAAGGTGCTGATTAAAAAGGTTTTGTAATGCAGTTGATTCTTCCCAGTTTAAACATCTTTCCGGGGAATTGGGTAAGCCAGCGGATTAAAACTCAATGATATACAAGAATACATACCGGTTCCACAGACAGAAATGTATTACAGATATATACATACACCTCAACCTTGACCTTGATGAACATTACAAATTAAGTACTGAAACAGCTAGAAATCTTAACTTGACGTTGTTTCATAATTTTCATTAAACAATTATGAGACTATTTTTTTTTTATGTCTTTTAATATCTATTAATCATTTTTTCATTCTCAACACTGAAACTTTATCCCACAACATATAAAACACAGTGTCTAAAACTAACACTTTCACCTCACTGTAAAAAATTTATACGAATATACGTGAATAACATTTTGATCTCTATCAAATTTTTTCACATTCTTATCAACAACACTATATGGTACCCTCTAATGCCAGAAATATCTACTATTGTAAATATCAATTACATTGCGGTAAACAGATTCTATTTCTAAACTGAAAAAGTTGCTAATTTAATCATGAACATTGTAACAATACAACCGACTTTTACACATTTTAGAAATTTAATTGCCAATTAAACCAAGAAGCAGTTTTTCGTAGTCTCCTCTAGTGTCTCCAGCTACAGCGGAGCGGAGAGATTTCTGATGGTGGACCAGATACTCCTCTTTAATGTCCTGTAGGTCAATCTGCAAATAAGAATAGATTCCATCAAATTTCTGGGGTTTTTTTAAATAAAAAATATAAATTGAATGCAAAACATATTTTAAGATGCAATCTGAAATGTCATTATGTACCCCTGTACTTGAAAGTGGTAACTTTTTATTCTATATTCAGAAGCAGTGACTTGGATCTTGAACTTAAGAGCTTATGTGGCAAATAAATGAAAATAAGACCTCTGAAGAAATGGTTGCACTGCCATCACTGTCAGTAATAATAAAAATACAAGGAGACAAGTTCTTTGTTGCATAAAAAAAAAAGTTCTATTCATAGAAAGACTGACCTTGACCTTTAACCTTCAAATCATATAGGATAGCCAAAGTAAGCTCTTGCAGCCAAGTTGCACTGTATGAATGTTGACAAAGCATGTGTCTATTTTAACAGGTTATGGTATAATTTGTAACAGGGAGAGATACTGATATACTTACCTCAGATCTTGACACAATGATCCTGATAAGAGTAGAATCCTTTGTGCCAAGTCCAGCCATTGACTTGTACAACAGGTCAGCAAAGTATTTTGGCCGATTCATAGCAGACATTACTAAGAACATAAAACATAATCTGAGGTGAGTGTTTTTCAACAATTGTTACAATAATGTAAAAGTTTACCCATAGCCTGTAAAGAGAAAATGCCTCACAATCAGTTAGGCACATATGGATTTTCAAAATTCTGAAAGAAAGAAATAATCACTAAAAACTGCCTACAGGCAGATATATGAAAATATAATTTTGTTTGAAGTGCTATGCACAAAGTCTTTGTGTATAAAGACATAACAAACCAGTTTCTAATAATCTGTTCAAATTCATGATTTTATCAAATCACAGGTATGATGAGTAAGGTAGGATATTGCCTTAACTCTATCATAAACTGCCTTAACTCTACCAAAAATCACAGGTATGATGAGTAAAGTAGGACATTGCCTTAACTCTAACATAAACTGCCTTAACTCTACCACAAATCACAGGTATGATGAGTAAGGTAGGATATTGCCTTAACTCTACCACAAGTCACAGGTATGATGAGTAAGGTAGGATATTGCCTTAACTCTACCACAAGTCACAGGTATGATGAGTAAGGTAGGATATTGCCTTAACTCTACCACAAATCACAGGTATGATGAGTAAGGTAGGATATTGCCTTAACTCTACCACAAATCACAGGTATGATGAGTAAGGTATGATGAGTAAGGTATAATATAGCTTTCACTAAAACATAAATCGGATGTATGATGAGACAGGAAGCATATAGCCTTAACTCTAACAGATAAGATATATATACTATGTAAGTAAGACTATAATCCTCTGTGTTAAAACCATTCAACACATACCAAGGGCTTTAAAGCCATCTTCAACATCTCCCGAGAATTCACTCTTCACAGATTTCAGAATGTCCTTTCCTGCGACCTGGAGTGAAAAAAATATCCGATTACAAATTTTCTGCAACATTATAAATAATAATAAATAAACTAAAACAAATCTGAAATTTGATGTTTCACACAGACCACAATAATAATGTTTACCCTTTGGTATTCCTGAAAGGTGGCTCGCAGCTGGTAATGGTTCCTCACTGCCATGACTGTAAGGAATGCCGATTCATCAGTGCCAATCATGTTCTCACCAGCTTGGTACAATTTTTGGGCATCCTGTTGCGCAAGGGCACTGTCCACTACCCCTTCCAATCCCTGGTAAGCTAGACGCTGCTGTTGTTCAGGAGTCAACTCATTCCTATTACCCTGATGGAAAAATACAAAATAAAAGATATACAAAATAGATTATTCATATTAGATGTAAGTATTAATTTTCAACGAGGAAATAGCTACAATGTAACTTTTAAGGAGAGATAATCTCATAAAATGAAAATGATTTTAATAAACCAAACAAAAGAAAAAAGCAAAAACCATCTTTTGTGAATTTTCATTTGATGTTACACCCTTTTCTAAATCATCACCATTATGATGTCAAAATGCCGTTACCAAATTTGAAATTGTTCAGTAGAAAAAAAAAAAAAAAAAAAAAAAACAAAAAAAAAAAAAACAAAAACTTAAATGAATGCCATATGCAAATGTTAGCATACTGTACAATTTATTTTTACATTGTTTACCATGAAAATGATAGCTTCATTTCATCAATTATAGATTTAGCACTACTAATTTGTAACAAGCGCTTCACTAAATTCAAAATGAAATGATGATCAAGCACATCCTCAATATAAATCACAGTACATAAAGAAACTTTGATTAACACAGTTACAAAAATAATCAGTGCTTTATGCCAGTAAAAATTGTTAGGATCAAAGTTTTAATATACTCACCTGACAACACGATATCAGAAGTCGCTTAAAATGTCCACTTGTCTCTGAACTTATATCCTGTTCTAAAGATCTGCCGAAATCTATAGAAAGCCAAATAGATAAGGCATTAAATATCAACAATAACATCTTAGTACATGTATTTTGAATCGAAACCTAGCAGTTAAATAAAGAAATTAAAAATAAAGATTTTTTATAAGTTTTTAGATTTTTATACAGAATGCACTTGTGACTTTCTGGCATTAATATTGAAGAAAACAAGACATTTCAAATCTTGATATGACAATAGATGTATGTTTTTGTCTCTGGAAGCATTGAATCTAGAAATTCTGTTTTCTATGTTTAGAAATTGGTCTTTCCACTGCTTACATGTTTTGTAACATTGGACAATCTCCTTAATTTCAGAATTAGTTCTTGTACAGAGAATTTCAATTAGAACAGCTTCTTTAGTGCCAACACCCTAAAACAAAAAAACAAAACAAAAAAACAACAGATCAATGAAATGAATTGAAATATTGTCCTTCTTCCATGCCGGAAGTAAACATGGATACCATAACATCATATATTTTCAATGGGCTAAAATTTTATGGTTTTCCTAAAATGTATATTTTCATTAATTTCGCACTTGATTTTGTGAATAAATTTCGCTCCCAAAAACAACTAGATCTGTAATCGATGTCAACTTCTAATTGTTTATCATTTCCTAGACAAATCAACATGTGGATTTAGATATCCAAGAATTCAACAAAAGTAACTCCCCTTCAAAAATGAATGGTTTTACAATACTAATGTTGTTAGCTCTTGGTCCCAAATGACCAAGACCAATATTTATAACTCACAGACTGAGAAATCTGAAATCAAGCACTCGCTATCTATTAATTGACTGAGCTGTCTTGTCTTGTACCTTACACCATATCTGACACAAAGTCGCATCATATCCTACTGCCTTTTTGATGTATAACCTAAAAAGGGAGGCAATTCAGTTGAAACTAAAGGTATGAAAATGAAATGATTTAAAAGTTTCATGCAATTTTGACAAAATTATAGACAGCACCAGAGACAGAATCCAAAGCCCTTGCATCTGTCTCCGGATGACATTCAAAATCATCTTTTTACGACAGATTGGCATCACATTACCAAAATAAATTTTTTTCAAACACTGGTACATATATGAATTAAACAGAGATTATGACGAATGAAGTGTCCTCCTGTCAGCAAGCCTGTTTTCAAAAGGTACCCAAAATACCATAAGTGACAATGTATAGTACATTGTTATAATACACTTTTAAACTTAAAAATGTGTTTCCTGAAAGATTCGTAAGATTCTGAGGTCGTCAGGTCCCCATGCTAGTAAAACTCACAGACATTGCTTTATGCAGGGACCAGGCATCAAAGTAAGTGGTAGGTTTGAACATGGCCATGATAAGTTCCTCCAGATCTCCGCTCAGTTCTGACTTCAGGTCAGCAATCAGGTCCTGGCAAAAGACGAATTATTCTAAAGAAGATTTCTCAACAACCAATATCATGCATACCTATAGATTAGCAGATGATAAAATTTCATGACTTAGAATCACCACTATTCACTAAAGAATATTTCAGAATATTTCTAAAAATAATTTCAAACATCAGAGTATGAAAATTTCAACTAACACTTTCCTTGGAGTGTTACGGTTGATAATACAGACCAATACCAATGAAGATCACATGGAGACTTACAATCAAGAGGTTAAACATCCTGTATAACATACAAAACTCCATGACGGCTCATTGGTTATATGTACAATCTTTTCACATAACATAACATCCCTTGTTCTTCTCATCAGTTCAAAATTATTTTAAACTATCATCATCTAAAGTAAAACCATACTGTTAAATAAATCAGGTTTTTTTTTTAATAGATATAGCTGAATGAATCAACTTATACTGATCTCAACTGTTCATGGACATATGAATTTGTGGATTAAAAGTATCAAAAAATATCAATGAAAATAAATCCTCCACAAGAATTAGTGATATTACAGTATATGTATACTGAGAAGCAGCAACAACAGAAACAGATGTCAGAATGCCAGATGGTTGACTTTGAACCATTTTATTCTCCTAATCTGTTTCATAATTAAGTACACACACCCAGGAACACAGGTAGAGCTGGAGAACACTCTCTATGTATATGAACTTTTTGAAAAACACCAATATAAGAAATACATTGAATGGTTAATATTGAAGAAGCCCATCTGGTGACCATTGTTTTCTTTTGATTAGTCTTAGAAGTTAAAGAAATGTAAATAAGGGTCAAAGATATCCTCAACACCAAAAATTTGAGAAAGTGTAACAATTGTTTTAAGACCAACAAAAGATAAATGAGGGCATGGCAAAAGGGCAATTTGAACTGCTGTCGCCGTCTCCACTGCTGATGATGATGTCTTTTTATAAAAGTAGCTATTTTGGTGTACAATACCTTGCCATACATTGTTTTGAACATGGCTAGAATCTGCTGGCGTTGACTGTTTGATCGTGCACTGATCACATTGATGATGGCTTTTTCATCCGTCCCTTAATAAACAAAAATCAAAGTCAAAAAGTCCTAACTAAAACATGTAACTTCAAAATCCTTATGATTTGAAAATTATTTACATTTTAATTATCTACATTAACATTTTAAAGAATGAATTTTGGATCAACAAATATTCTCAATGAAATAATTTTAGTGGTAATGAATCTAATAATGTGAAATAAAATTTCACTGAAATATATTTCAACCAGATTTAAATGAATTTTAAGATCTGAAGTAAAATAGTTGTAAGAAAGAGATTATTTTTTAAAAGTTTTCAAAAATTGTTTAAGATTCTCATGAATTGAAATATCCTGACAATACTGTACATACCAAATCCTTTCATAGCTTTGCGTAAAACTTCTGCATCCTGCTCTGCAGAGAATGGGTTAGCTGGCCGAACAGTAGGACGGCTTACCTCCCCTTTACCCCCAGCACCGCCACCTATGTTCATAGCGCCCATTCCAGCTGTAGCCCCAGGAACGCCCTACAAATAGAAATGTAGACATAACAGATTTAATTCCCAGTTTTAAGGTACAGTAAAAGATCTTTCACATCACCATGACAGCACAGGAAGGTATGTGACCTCTAGCTAACTGAGACACCACACACCTCATATCTTCATCAGAGGTTTTTACTGGTCTGATGTTCCAACAACTGAGAACCAAAGCCTGACCTCAAAGATTACTTACACAAAAGGTAGACAAGAAAATTTCACCTATCAATACAGATATAGAATTAGATACAGTAGAGCCAAAGAATGAATGAAACTGCATATCATACAGCTGTTTCATCATTCTCGGACTTGCCAGTGATGAAGCTTAGCAGGCGACTGAGGAAAATCCTACGTGATCAAAAGAAATGTCAAAATCAAGATAGGAAGATACCCTAACCTAATGTGCAATAAATTAAGATACAATTCCTAATGTATCAAAATCTATTAAAATATACATCAAGCACAAAACACATATCATTATGTATGTTGTTTACTAAATTATGTTATTTATAAGATATAAACCAAACTGTATTTATATTTAAATCTCTAATATGATTCACTGCTTGTTTTGGTCTGTAATATCTGACCTGTTTCAACCCCATTTGACCTTTTAAATTAACCTATGACCTTGTTACATTTACATAATCAATTCCTATTTTAACTTTTGATTGGTAACTCATTGATCATTAACCCCTGTGTTCTGTCTCATTCAATTTAAAAAAAAAAAAAAAACTTAGTTTGGGATAAAAAAAAATGTGTGAATGAATGAAAGTAATTCCTATTAATCTCAATCTGCACCATGTCTCAGGCACTGTATGTAGTGTATTTCAGTATCAAAACCTCCACCATTTATAAGAAATACAACATTTTCCCCTAAGCTCTACTTCAATACATGTAGAGATTAAATAAATTTTTGGTTTATAAATCTGAGTAGTAATTGTGTGTTGAGTGTTTTATCTTATTTTCCTTAAATTCTATAAATAAACTTCAAGCGAAACTCAATCTATCAGCTAATAAAGGAAACTGCTTCTAAAATGAAATTGTCAATGTTAATAACAATGTGCTGTTTTATACTGTATTAACCCCACAATAAGGCCAGGTGTTCATTGACGCATCAATTATGGTTCCATGGCTGAACAAAAATATCTTACTGTTGAAACAAAATAAAATTTTGCAGTTTTGAATGTGAAATACAATGGAAGATGTTTTGATTATTATTTGACATGGTCTTTATACAAGAACCAGCGACACATACCGCTCCTGCATAAGCAGGCTGCTGCGGAGGCTGGTGCTGTGGTGCCATTCCTCCTGGTCCCTGTTGGGGGTAGGATGGAGCCCCTCCTCCTTGGTAGCCAGCTGGCTGCTGTGGATACCCTGCCCCACCAGCTCCTGGGAAAATGTTTAAAAACATTGGCATGTTCATGAATAATAAAATTGCTTTAGTCCTAATGCTATGGAATACAGAGAGTTCCAGGTAAAGATTTTTATTCTTACTGCCACTTATCATCCAGTTTAGGACAATTGTAACCATCAAAAATATAATTTTAACTAAATCTACATCTTTGAACAATGTAAGCTTTTAATTTAGATTAAGTCCAGTTTGACCTTTTGACCTTTAAACATTGATCAATTACATATATAATCTAATTCAGTACAGAATGTGGTGGTGTGATAACAAATCATGGTGTGAATTTATCATCTAAAATGTAGAATTGTCTTTCACATAATTAAAGCATTTAAATTTTCATATGAAATACATAACATAATGATTAACTAACTGATGACATTATTGGTAAAATCCTGACTTTGGATGATCGCAATGAAAATCTAAAAATTTGACCTTTTATGCTGGTACACGTGTACAAGGCAAGACCTCTTGTGCTGGCATATTTGTGTACAAAGTGAGACCTCTTGTGCTGGCATATTTGTGTACAAGGCGAGACCTGTTGTGCTGGCATATTTGTGTACAAAGCAAGACCTCTTAAGCTGGGATATTTGTGTACAAGGCAAGGCCTCTTGTGCTGGCATATTTGTGTACAAAGCGAGACCTCTTGTGCTGGCATATATGCATACAAAGCGAGACCTCTTGTGATGGGATATTTGTGTACAAAGTGAGACCTGTTGTGCTTGAACATATGTGTACAACCTGAGGCCTCTTGTGTCTTGAGCAGACACATATTTGTGCAACATGAGTTCTCTTGTCATCTTGTGCAAGCACATGTGTGTACAATGTGAGGAACTCTCATGTTGTTTTCTAACATTATTATACCTTGGAAAGCTGCTGGCTGTTGCCCTTGGTAACCAGCAGCAGGTGGTTGCCCAGGGTAACCGGCAGCTGGCTGAGCAGGATAACTAGCACCCCCACCTGAAATTAACAAAGAATATCAACAGAACAAAACTAACTGCAGGATATTGTTTTTAATATCAACAATTTCCATCATGTTAAATGCTACTAAATGTGCCTCTTACAAGAGGCTACCAGAATGATTTTGGAAACAAAAATTGGTCCAAACTGGGTTACAATCAGGACAACTAACAAACGTTTTGATGTCAAAACTGTTAAAATGCATACTGTATCAAATTTTGTTCAAATTAAAAATGTCTGGGAAAAACACAGTCCTGTAAGTATACTTAATCTTGATTTAACAAATAGATTATCCTAATGGACAGAGATAAATCGACTGGTTGAGAGAAGCCTGGATAATGGCTTAACCATCTTGTAGTAATTCAGTCCTGTTTTACTGCGGTGAGACAAACTTCAAAGTAGGAAACATCAAGGAAGATTGTACAAAAGACACACTTTTAGAAATTTTAGAATGTGATACAGGAGAACCAAATTATGAGTAAAGCTACATTGTATAGATGTTCATATTTCTAGAGCATGCAAGCAATTTAAATGACCCAACAAAATGTCAAATATTAGATGGTGTGCTGCACTAACCTGAAATTTCAATAAATTTAACGATTCTCAATAATGAATGGTTTCAAAAAAATGTCAAGTCCATGTGTGTATTTTGAAATATGCCATCATTTAAATGATTAAAAACGATCCATGCATTTTACAACAAACCTTGGGGACTTAAAATCCACCAGCAGTATGTACCAACTGCAGTCTCAAAAACTGTACTAAAAACACACAAAGTTCAAAGTACACTTCAAAATTTACACGGCAAGACAAGTTAAACAATTTCCTTCACAATTCAACAATGAGTGCTGGGAGAAAATGGGCGAGTATGTGAAGTTTGATCAAATTCTTCAAGGAATGATGCTTCAAAAGTGCTGACACGAAATCTCTAATATATGTAAAGTCTTGAACTTTACCCTGAAAATTGAAGTTGTCAGAGATATAATGGTCTTTTAATGGGAGTGTTAAGTTTGATCAAAATCACCCAAGAAATGATGCTGCTTGGTTAAGAGTGCTGACATGAAATTTCTACAAAGAGTAACGCTGACCTTGACCTTAACCATGAAATTTGAAGTTGTCCAAGATGTAATGGTCTTTTATAGGTGTACAAAATTTAATCAAATTCCACAATGAATGAATTTACAAAAATATTAAAGCTGACCTTGACCTTGATCTTTGAACCCTGAAATTCAATGTCAGCTGAGACAAAATTGTATCTTGTCAGTGTGTAACGTTTGATCAAATCAATGAATAAAGAACAAAGCCAACAGAATTCTGACAAAAAGAAGTCATCCTCTATTTCCCTTCCCGACATTCTTAGTGAAGGGATCAAAGTTAATTAAAACAGAAAGGCCAAATAACAAATTAAACTGATTCATACAGCTGTTTCGTTCTTCACGATAAACTGGAAAAAAAGAGAGATGGTTGAAATCAAATCACAATCTGAAATGATTTTCATCCTATTTTGTCTAATGCTACACATACTTACTGTATGGAATAACTCAAATTATTCCTGGAACAGACAGGATGGTTATATTCTACTGTTAGTATATATACTATTCTAATTTTAGGAATAAAATCCTGAGTCCTCCAATAGTCAGTCAAACTGAGAATATAGCAATTAAAATCTTATCAGAAAAGCAATACTCTAAAATTGACTCTTCAAACCCGTGATTATCATAGACAACCAAAACAAATGGATTTTTATATAAATTTTTATTTCATTTTATCAGCAGATCTACATCGTAGTAACAATGTAAAGAAATCAATCTTTCCTATATACAGGTTTACTCCTTTTTTTCAATATTTCAAATATACCATGTACTGGTTACTTGGTTTTTTTGGTTTTGGGACAAAATTGATCTATTCTTCATACGATGAAATTTTATCTATTCTATTTAGAATATACTTTATCTGTTCTTTTCATAATATACTTTATCTCTTTTTTATAGGATAAAATTCATCTGTCTTTCTTAGGATAGAATTAATGTGTTCTTTACAGGATAAAATAGATAAAATTTATGTGTTTTCAGATAAAACTGATCTGTTCTTTTAGGATCAAATTTATCTGTTCTTTATAAGATAGAATTTATCTATTCTTTTCAAGATAAAGTTTATTCATAAAAGAATGGAGTCCTCTTTGTTGTTTTCACTCCTTTTACAATGCTTTCTGTGAAAGTATACTATGAATATTCACCATTGACACTTTGACTTACTACACTTTGCCGGATATTGGGTCTCAATCCCCATAGTGAATATGTATTTTATTTCTACAAAGACAGGTATTCAATATATGCTGTTACAGCACAGATCAATTCAATAAAGGAGAAATATTGAGAAAAAAATATTGGAAAAATTTAAATGATGAAAAGTATTTTCAGAAACCAGAATTTAAATATTCAAGCCAAAAAGTCCAAAGTGTGAAAGTTTTCCTTTGGGGGAAAATGAATTTAAATTAAAATTTTTATAGATTTATATCCATATTTATTTCAATCTGCATACAAAATTTTATGGAGTATCATGCATGAATGTACCCTCTAATTTTGACTCAGTTTTGGCTTCAACTTCTTGTCATACAACATGCCAAACTCTCATTATGCAAATTTGAAACATTCAATAATTAAATGAAATTGAAATATATTTATGATAAGCACAATTGAAAAATAAAGACTTTCCAACAGTAAGGAAGTATTATAAAGAGACAATTACTTGTGAAAAAATACTTTAAACATGTTATTTTTTTCCCTTCAATGTAGAAAGGTACTTTATTATCCTGCAAGACTTTTCAATGGTATGTTGATTCTAATGAAAATAAAATGCAACTACACATATCAAACTTTAACAGTTGAATTTAAGTCAACAATTTCAATGGTTTCAACACCAATTTATAGTAATACACTAACAACTATTTAAAGTCATTTCATAATTGCAATCAAACATTTTTTTAAAATCAAATATATCAATTTTCTAGAGAAGTAACAAAAATAAGTTTCTTTTCAAATCTAAAATCTAAATAAAACCAGACATAGCGAAATACCAGAAAACATAGAATTTTTTTATTAGATATAACAATTGGTAAATATTGAACAGACAAACTTTAATTGAGAAAGAAACATACCAGGTATCACAAAGTACATGCATATACTTTCATTTTGTGATCTTCAAAAGCGAAAATATAACATTGCTAAAATCAGATACAATATAATCTGGCTTCGACGACAAATGGCAAAATATGCGTGCGGTAAATTAAGCCAAGTACACAGTACTTGTACTGATAATATATAAGCTGTAACATAAGGCTTATTGATAAGTCTCTCTCCTACATTGGTGTCTGGACTTTCAATTGGGAAAATTACGTAGTGTACATATATGTAGCTACACAGTAGCTTGGTATGTTGAAGTGTAAAAGAAACTTATTACAGCCACTTAAATAACAACCTTAGCTAATATGTTAGTTAAGTCAAAAGTAGAAAAGTTGGTAAATATCACAGATGTTTTGTATGCAACATATCACATACACCAAGGCATATGGAGAAACCAGACATCACTGAGGCAATAGTCCTAATACAGCAAGTATTTAAGGGACGCTCTATTTCTCTGTAAAACCAGATTAATTATCAAACATTTTGACTTGTTTTCAAATATAAACTTATATGACGCTGGATCATTAATCAGTCAAAATTTGAAAATAACTTGGAAATATTTGAATTGCCATAGGCATACCAGAATTTGTGTAATATCATTATGAAAATAATATAATTTTCACAATAAATGAAAGATACTTTTAATGTATCAACAGATTATTTTAAATTTAAATACATATTCTTTTGTTGGATTACGTACAGAATGTTTCAAGTAACCATTTGGTGTTTAGATGCCTAAAAAACGTATTAACTGTTAATGTCATGTTGTGGTTATTATCACACTTTCTTCAGACAAACAATGCAGGTATCATGTGAATTTCACTCTTCCTGTTAAACATGCTAAGGATCAAACCCCTGATTAACTTGTTAGATATGGTTTCACATGTGTTAAATTAAAACTTTCCAGTCCAGCTGAGAGGACACAGCTAGACAATTACCCTCGCTTACATACAACAACAATTTACTCATGTCATTTTCCGTGTATGTACAAATGTAAGTACATTATATGCTGTTTTAAGGAATTATGAATTATGAAAGTTTTATGAATAAAACTGGCATTTATTAATGGGTGAATTTTTTTTAATGAAGCCAAATAGAGCTACAATGATACATATATTAAGCATGCATAGATAAAAAGGATGATAAATTAGTTTTTATTAATTTGTAACAAATATACAATTAATGATATATTTTGTCAACCAACCTGTATTATCCATTCAAAATAAATACTGTGCTGTTCTACATGTACTTATGACATAATGAAACACTATGTGTCCAAAAATGCATCAATTTCTTATTTATTCCAATATCTTGTCCATGCATATCAAAAATAATTTTTCTTTTTTGAAAAAAAATAAATAAAAAATTCTTCAATATATATAATTCATATCCTTAACAGCAAAATATAAAATTTTGAAAAAATTGCACTTGAAATAAGGAACAATGAATAATGGTGTATTTAATTTCTTATCTTACACCAATATAAATGTTTCTATATACAAGTACAACGTAACAGCCATTAAATGATTTCATCATTACTATATAAACTGAAATCAAAGTTTGGGATTCCCTTCAAAAATTTATATCACAAATTGAGCTTCTTAAATCACAATTCATAGAAAGTTTACTGAAATAATTGAAAAATAACATGGAGGATGCTATTTCCGTTAGCTCTTCTGTGAATTTGACTAGCAATACAACAATATAGGTATACACTCTGAATATATACATTTATGACTGAAATTTCCTGTTGTTACTGGGTTTTTTTCAGGTTCTTACACGATGAGTAATTGGCCTAGCAGAGCTTTGATCAGCTGATGTTTCCTATTGTTTCTAAAATTGTGATGTCATAACTTCCTAGCAGTATATGTATGGTGATATCACCAAAAAAGGAGATATAAAATGTGAATATGGCCAATCTATATAAGTTTCAGTCTAAAAAATGCTGTTTTGACAAATGTTTGGAAAAGTATTTCAAAGTTATGTGATAAACAGAATCTTGCATTTGTTTCTATATCATATCAGATTAAGAAACTTTTACACAAATTTTTATTTTCCCTGCCGACGGATTGACAGAGTGAAAAATTCTTAGGATCTGTTTCATAAACCTCTAATGAATGGAAACTCATAATTATATATATATATATAATACAACGCTATCTGTTCTTCAAATTTATCAGTATACATATATACATATATTGTCATCTGAAGATTCAGAAATGAAAATGCTTATGCTTAACTGTGGTGTTTGCAATTATATATCACTAATAACAGATAGATAAAACCTGATATGTCAAAGTCAAATTAGTTGTGTATATACATAGCTAGATCAGCTGTTCTAGTATCACTGGTGAAGGAATGTTTGTACACAATCTACATTAAGTATGCAAAATTATTCAAAATATACAAAATTAACTTATTTAAGGCACAGATTTAAAATATGATTTTTACAGTTTGTCAGTGTAATAAAGTATGTGGAAAAAATCATACAAGTAGGCATGATTTCAATGACTGGGACAAAAAATTCCCAAATTTCTACAACTCCCCTAATCATTCAACATTATCATAGTTCTTAGATTTCTAAAATTTCTAAAAACATTCTACATTATCATGGTTTAGTGTGAACAGCTCATCTGCTTGTAGCATGACCACAGCACTTGAAAACCATATCTAATCTACATGAACAGTCCAGTGTTATCTACAAGCAGTTGATGGCCAGCATGCGATGAAACCCCTCTGCATTTCTATGTTAAGGATCACCCAAGCTAGCTTTCCCTACTCAGTCTGGGCATTAGTATGGGCGGGGCGGGCCCTGAGGGTAATCTGTAATGAAACAGAAATAAACGTCTGTCAGGAAATTTTTTGTTTAAATATTTTTTCAAGAAATAAAATGAGAGGAAAAAGGAGAAGAAGGGAAAAAAACTTGGGATCAAGTACTAGAATGTTTAGAAAAAAAATGTAATTTCAAAATTTAAATGTGTTAGAATATCAACACTCATGCTACTGTTAAAGCTACAAGATAAAATAAAAGTAAGTCTTTTTTCTATCACACTGTTATCGATTTGTGAATAATGACTACATTTAATTAGTTAATGTCTTTCTCCCTGCTTCAGAAAATGAAATGGAGGGTGTTAAAAAACTGATGTTTTAACAAGAGAAAATGACAAACGTTGTCTCAAGCCAAATGAGTCAATCATACTGTACAGAGAATCTAGACTCTCCAAGTTTCCACTGTGTATGTATTTTGATGTTGATAATACATTATTTAGTTTTTATTATTTTTAACAAGTAAGTATTGTAATGTTTCAGAATTACTGAAATGTATGTTTAGTGATGTGAAAAATAATCAAACATTTTATTTCAACTTTGACTTTTTCATGAGATTTCCAGACAAAGCAAGACAACTTGGGTGTTTCCTTAATTTTTCATAATTGGAGCATAGCACACTACACAGTAAGCTAAATAATTCAGTCTGGATAATGCTAACATTTGCACATCATATTTCATCATTTTTATACTGATATTTACTTTTTACTACATTTTTAACGGCAAATGAGAGACAGAAATAAATAACAAAAATACTGAAATATGACGTGAAAATATCATAATTATTCAATCTAACTACAGTTTTCTGGGAGTCAAGGACGTTACTTACTTGGGTATCCCCCAGGAGGTGGCTGGGCTGGATATCCTGGTTGTGCTGGGTAACCAGCTGGTTGTGCAGGGTAACCAGTAGGCTGAGTGTATCCAGCAGGTGGAGGAACATTTCCTGTTGTCAAAACAACAAAATTGTAGATGTCCATTACAATGTTTTGTTAATACTATTCTTCTTTAGACTGAGAAATGATCGAGTAATAAATGAAAACGAGTAAGAAATATTTTCCACAAAAAATTGAAATAAACAACTGACTTAACTTACTAAAAAGGAAGTTTATAGACATGAGAGTAGTCCTTAACTATCACCTATCATACGACAAAACATGTAAATTTACACAGTAAATTTTAATATACAAATGTATACGATATTTTCTCAATTGCTCTTATCTTCTGTTAGTGGCGTTGATTTCACCACTTTGAAAAATGAATAAATTTATCTGATTTGTTGGTTTCTTCACTTGTATTTCTCTAGAATTTTCCCTACCTTTTAATGTATTACAAAAGAAACATTAATTCTGCCACTCAACTTTTAATAGTTTATTGGATTTCAATGCAATTCAGCAAGGTTATTGGTTATTTACAAATTTTACTTACTAAGTATAAATTTTGTACAAATGTAAATCTTAGCTGATATTTGAATTCTATATTTTTATATGTTTACAATAAACAGAATAATCCTTATATCACCTACCTATTTATTTCATTAAAAATTTGTATCACACATATAATTGTCTACTTGCTTAATATTTCTATAAAAATTTCTAATATCTAATCAGTTAAAAATGATATGCAAAAGAAAAATCTTATTTGAGAACAGTTTCTTTTTTTTTTCAAATGAAATAATAAAAGTGGTTGAAAAATCATGCATGAAACAAAATAAAATTATTGATGAAATTGATTGACATAGAATGTACATGTACATGAATCATTTGAAAGTAAAACTTTAAATATGTAAATATTGATGTTTAATTAGCCTGGCATAATTGGAATACTTTGTTCTTTTACCTGAGAAAATTAATATATAATACCTTGTGGATATCCTCCAGGATAAGCTGGGTTTGGGGCTGGTGGGTAGTTAGCTCCTGGTACTGCAAACCCACCCGCGCTGTAATTTCCCTGGGCAGGAGGGGGAACCACTCCTGGAGCCATTCCTGGGGCACCATATCCTGGGGCACCATAACCAGGTTGAGCTGGGTAGCCTGGTTGTGCAGGGTAACCTGGCTGTGGATGATGACCATGGGCACCAGCATGATGACCATGGGCACCAGCATGATAACCAGGTGCACCCTAAGACAGGGAAAAAGGAGAATGATATCCATTATAGGTAGGCATTGACTTAAATTTGCCTTAGTAATCTCAAAAGCTACTTTTACATTAAGTGACCTTCACAGACATGTGAACCAGCTGGGCTTTCTACACAGGTAATTATCATATCTATATATCCAATTTACACAGGTAATGACTTTTTTTCTAATAATTGACCTTCACAGACCGGTGACACAGGTTGACGTTCTAAACAGGTAATTATCATCCACATAAATCCATTATACTTGTAATGACTTTTCATTTCATAAGTGACCAAGTGAAAAGTTATTTCTTTCGCATTATGTGACCTTCAAAGACATGTGACACATGTGGATTATATAAACAGGTAATTATACACATTTGACTACTATACACAGGTTATTACTTTACATAAAAGACCTTAATGAACAGATATTTACAGTACACATTTGGTATTTATTTGAACAAAGACAAAGACATCAATCTGTATGTGACCTTTATATGCAGGTATTTATGCCTGTGGCCTTTATAAACAGGTATTTGCAGGTATTTATTATAGAGATAAATTCATTGGACATTGTAATACATGAAAAAATGACAGTGTTTGCAATTTGTTTATACTCACTGGCAGAATGGTTCCTTTTGGCAGAATACCCTGATAAAAAAACAAACAATATTAATAAACTTCTTTGTTTGTATTCATTTATCTATTATCATACTTGAAAAACATTTATATACAACTTACTTTGTTTTTCTTCGAAGTATAAATTGCAGAGAAGTACGAATCAAAATTTCTGAATTTTCAAATCAAGCATTAAAGAAACAAAAATTTAATCATCTAAAATTTGGAAAGGGAAAAAAACAAAGAAACAAACAATATTTACAATTAGTTTTTCTTCCAAGTATGCTATCACTTTTTAATAGCCAAATATTTTCTTTGCTGTGCCAAAGGTCGTAGCACTTAGCACGTAGCACAGAATTTAGCAGACAGCAAATTATAAATACAAAATGGAAAAACAATCACCCAGTGAAATTGAGGACATCAAAAATACCCATAGTTTGAATAACTGATTGAAATGAAATAGTAATTCTGATAAATTAAAATCTTGCTTAATATTGCACACCTTTTTCATCTGTTTTTTCATTTTCTTCCTCATCTTCCTCTCATGTTTGGGGAGATGTTTGTACTCATTGTCTGAGCTGTCAGAAGACGATGAAGAAGATGAGCTGCTGCTGCTGCTGCTGTGTCCATGATACTTGTGTTTTTTGTGTTTACCCATTTTTCTAGAAAATGTGAAAATATCAAATATTTTCTTTATCCTAATTTTTTCAGATATTTTCAATAAATAAAATATTTACAACATAGACAACATCAACCATTCTAACATTCAAGCACATGTATCATAAAAACCATATACAAGACTATTATGATATTCACTTGAAAATCATCATCATCTTCACATATCAATTTTTCAAAACTTTCAAAAATTCCAAAAATTGTTTTTTAAACAATTTGAAGAAATTGTACCATAAATTAGAAACTGTACTAAGGGAAGTGACTTTTGTGTTCCAAGCTGATAAGTAGTAACACTAAAGGACAGTGTTATGTAGATAAAGTTAACACATCTGTAACAAGAGATCTAAAGGGAATCTTGATACCCACCATAGTATGATATTTATTAACTCTTTACAACTTGCGATATTTTACTTCTTTTTTTTATCTACTTCCATCCTACGTCTCAATCATATGTTTTTTGCTGGGCTTATCATAGCCATTTTCTCTTGCCAAAGGACACAACCATGACAGCGCAGACTGGTTCATTTCTCAGCTTCCTGAGAAAAACTAACCACCATGGGAAGACAGTGTTGAACCATGTACCTCAGGTCCTCACCTGAGGTTACATAGGCCTACACTCCACAGACTAAGCCATCTAGATTTGTGTTGACACTTGACAAAAGAATCACTCATAACTATGGTAACGTCAGGAAAACATGGAAGTACAAATTAAAGCAAGATAGTCATCACAATAATTGAAAGTGTGACAGTCAAAATCCAAGATGGCTACCTATTTTACATAGTTTTAATGATCAGTCTTAAAACAGATGCTACTTTTAGGGACCAAGAAGACTGTACATGTGTGGATAGTACTTATCTGGAAAAAGTAATGACAGAGTATAATTTTACTGATATTTTTTTTTACTCACAATGGAAAATGCACAAATTAACTATAGAGGCATTGAACTGAAGAGGACCCTATCATGATGTACCTACTTATTCTACCCTTCCAAAACACCTGATTTTATTCTTACAAGGGTCTCATTGTATGTCTTTCTTTTGTTCAGATTGTCAGTTTCATTAAATCTGAGTTTGAATTATGTTTTGTTGTCAGTACTTTCTCTATTGTTTCAATAATAAATGTCCCTATCTTAGTTTCAAGTGTTGATGACTGAAACTCAGATTGATGTGAACAAATTAAAATTCTGACAGACATTTTTTTATTTATACACTTAATTCAAGAAATTTAATCAGAATGAATTGAAGTCAGTCTCAATTTATGCCCAAAATTATTATCCATACCGATATACTGTTGACTGAACCTCATAATGATTGAAACCACAATGTTACAGACTTCTACACTGCTCATGTATAAATAGTAGTTATCTACTACCAGGGGCTGAGTTAACATGACATTACCCAAATTGGAATACTTTTTGAATAAAATTGTAATAATTTTCAACAGCATGCTTGAATCATGTATTTTTTCTTGGTATTTTACAAACAGATGACTCCAGCTTTCATTTCATGTTTTGGTTACATGGCAGTAGTGCACGAGCCTATAATTAGAACGCAGCAAGGCATGCTAGGTTCAACAGGTAGGGGTACCCAAAATGGAACACCTCTTTTATTCTGTTTATTTAACAGAAATAAGCAACATAATCTTGAATATTTTTCCTCAATTTATAAAAGTTTACTCTCTCATCAATCTCTGTCACCATCAAAAATGTTAATTTCAGCAATACTTTTCAATCTTTAAAATCATGAAAGAATATTTGTGTTGTCGCATAGCATGATTTCCCGGTATTTTTTTTATAAGTACGTCATTTTGAAATTTTAAATGAAGACGATAAGCAACAATGAAGACATGGGCAGGTAAAAAAATGCCATAAAAATTCATAAATACCTTATTTTTTGTTTAGAATAGTTAATATTATTTTGTATTGCATGATAAAAAGTCTATGTCAAATATCTGAGAAAAGTGTACCATTTTGAGTAGCGTCATGTTATATGTGTAATAAAATGTGCACGTTTATGCCCCCAACTAACTTGTTGAATAGGGAACACGGACACACACAGCTTCAGCGTCCCAACCAGTGCACTTTTAAAACTAAAAGACACGCCCCGCTGACACCGTACAGTACAATAGGCATGCCAACTCTAAGAACGTTAAGCTTAAATTCGATATAAATACTCCATCAACAAAAAGTAACAATTACATCAACATCTGGTCTTCATTTGTTTTACCTGTGCTAGTGCTTTTGAAACCTGTTTATCTGTTTATCAGGAAAACGAAATTCTTCGATCAGAGCTCTTTTGTGTTTGAAGTCACAAAAGCTACAAGGAAAGTAAACTTCCGGCGTGATGATCAAGACTCAGATCTGTTTTTAATTTAGGTAACGTGTAGATAAAAATAAAACCACGAAGTTGTAATGGAATCCACTTTTCAATATATGTTAACAAAAGGTATACGATTTATGTGGAATGATACGTTTTCTATTGGAGCTTAGACTAGATTGCTTTGCCATAATTACCTTTTTCATGTCATTTTTAAAATTTCATTGGCCACGTCACTTCAGTATTTGATCCATAATTCTTCTGTATTTACAGATGACATAGAGAACGCTAATGGTCAAGATTTTGAGTAATGGGGATATTGTCCCTGACAATGATCCCAGGGCATCTACAGGAAGGAGTAGTTCAAGTTCTCAGCAACCTCGTCAAAGACAGGTCTGTATTATATATATGTCATACATGTTATGTGTATCTTTGCAACTGACGTAGGAATGCAACGAAAAATATTTATACTTCCTATGGACAAAAGTCCCAATAACTTGGTATATAAAAGTATACTTTCATTTGCATTAATAAACAGAATCAAGGAGTAAAAAATACTCGCAAGGAACTTTATTCGAGTGTTAAAATTAATAAACATTAAATTGTTCCAGAGGCAGAGAAGAATCATAAATAAGGTTGGTGATATTTACTCTACGAGATATTATATATATTTCTAAATGTTTCACCAAACCAAACGGATTTGTTGTTTTTTAGCTGAACTAAACATATCTGTCAATACCATTGATGTCCTTAAAAAGGAAACATGAGCTCATGTTACCATCAATTATATTGCTCAATTAATACAGCATTTAATCAGTACTTTACAACAAATTTTACATCTGAGAATCTGTATGTTTTCTTTTCTCTTTTTAAGGGATTTGTGCGACACGATGAAGCTGGACCACAGCAATATGGGCAGCAGGTTTCAATATTTGAAATGGCTAATCAGAAGTTACTGGGATTAGGAATCCCATGCTGGAATCTTGGACAATACACAGTACAGCCAATTGTAACAGTAGGCTGCCTCATAGCTCTGATGGTGTTTGGACTCCCTGGAATTATATTTGCAGCTGTTCTCTTTTTTGTTGTTAACTGGAGTCAGCAAAATGTTGGACATCAAAACGCACATGGTGGCCAAGGACAACCAAGGGGAGATAACTGGGGTGGGGGTGGGCATCGTCTTGGGTGAATATAAATGTGATTCGAAGAAGAAGGGGTGTCAACTGAGCATACCTCAACTTTAAACATAATATTACACCAAATAAGAAATGATTGGCAATGTTCTGTAATGCTACAAACATACCACATTTTTTACAGTTTAATCAGACTGACTAGTCATTGATTAGTGGTGAAATATTCATGAACTGTTGTGTTCTACTTATTTCATAATATACTGCTAAATTTATAGAGAATTAATGTGATCACTCAAATAGAAAATTCAAGGTACCTTTGATGTAATGAATAAGTGACTAAATAAAACTTTAATCTATCTGTAGGGATCTTAATTATTCATTACATTTTTTAATGATAATTATAATTCATGTAAAGAATTTTCTTTCTTTTTTTTAAGGTTCTTTTTCTACATAAACCAAATGGTGCTAGTAAGATGTTTGATACTTACCCACTAGATTTGGCAAGTAAGTGTTTTGCAAATAGATGACTTGGCTTGTATTTATTAATATTCAACACTTCAGAAGTAAACATCCAAGTTTGTCAAACATCTTAGTGCTATTAATTGGTTATGATGTAATTGTGTGTTCAAATACAAAGACTTTTTCTTAAATTCGTGTGTGTCTAAAATTGTGTAGTATTTTTTAATTCTGATTCAGATATATTGTACATGTATTACTACTCTATATGTATTGCAATTGATTTCATTGAATCACCAATCTTGTCCCAAATCAAGGCAGAATATGTTTCCACTTAATATCTGAGGCTAGTAATTATAAGGTGATCTGTACTTTTGACTATCTTCTACACTGCTCCTTCTAATTCACAAGTCTTTACCCCCAACAATGAATACATCCCAGGTTCTTCATCCCCTAGAAAGCATTCACTTTTCTGAAGGATGGAGTAACTAAAAGACAGACCTGCTGTCCAAAAGGCTCAAACTAGGTTCTTCTCAGTCTCTAGTTGGACACTCTATCCCTTGACTACAGGGAAATACCCACTAGCTGAGGCAATTAATTTGTATTCACAACTTCTACAGAACATATATAAAGTGAACAATTCCTTACCAATGTAAATTATGTATATGCATGTACCTAGTGAATTTTATTGCCTTTCTATTTAAGCCAAAAACTGGGGGAGGGTTTAACTATAATGAGGCAAAACTCTAAGAAAATCTTCTGAATTTCAAAGAAAAATAAATTTACTGCATTTTCCAACTGACAGACTACAGTAAAATTCAGGTAGTTGAAAAAAAAAATTCAAAATGGTACCCAGATTCATCCCCAAGAAATGATCACTGATGCAGATGTGAATATAATTCTGGTCTTGATTTACAGAGAGATTCTTTGTTACTTAATGTATATCACAGAAATAAATTATTTTAAAATACCATTCAATGTTTTCAGTTGTTTGCTGCAAAGATACCAGAATAGTTCCCTCTGTTTTCAACTCACCTTGTTGACCAGTGTTTTTTCCTGAGTATTGTAAGATCATGCATCTAAACTAGAGCTGGAGTTGATCATGTAAGGACTATTTCTGCTTTATGACCTTGAAAACAAGGTCAAAGCCTTCAATTTATAGAAATATTATAGCACTTCATTCTAGGACAAATATCATTACCATATATGGAGGTCTTCTGAAACCAAAGATTTTCAGATACAGTTCTTCAAAAAATTGACATTCATGAACTTCATAATACTAAGATCCAGGAAATTAACATGACAACAGGGTCATCTGAAAATTGACACATGGATGGTCAAATCAAAGAATTTGCTGATGGTGAAAGATAAGTAAGATGAATTCAAATTTTGAACATTCCTTGAAAGTATCAGAAACTTATAAATGGAATTGCACAATCATGTTACAAAATAGCTACTTAACTTCAGAAGTAGTTATGACTATTTGTAGTAGATGAGTTAGGTTGGATTTTGGACCAAAGTGAAAAAATAAGATTTGTTCAGGACAATCTCAGGATCAGTTCATGCATGTTTGATATCATTGCCACTCCATTATAATGTTTCAGGACAAACTTGGTAGAAATCCACCCTGGCATTAATCAAGAGTAGGAGCAAACTAATGTCTGCCCCACTTGGGCCTGGGCCTTGCCCCTCTTGGGCCTGGGCCTTGCCCTCAAGTCCCTATGGGTCAAATCAAATTTCTGAATTTAAGAAATGATCCTTCGCTCTCAATGATATTTCAGACAAAATTTGGTTGCAACCTGCCAAGGTGTTTAGCAGTAATGTTTTAAAGAAAAAGTTTCCAGAATGCAAATGGAAGACGGTGCACAACGACGGATGATGCATGATATCAGTAGGTCAAGATCATTAATATGAGGAAGTATTAGCACTCCATGTCTGAGGTACATCTGTATTTCACAGGCCAAATAGCAATACCACTGGTTAATCTAATAGAACCTGGAAAGAAGATTCTTGCATGTTTTTAACACATCTGAGGAATGAAACATCTTAAGGTCATAAATATGCTATGAGGAATTATATGGCATTCCATCCTAGAAGTAGGTATGTCGTGGCCAAACAATTGCACCTAGTTGCTTCAATTGAATTTTTCAAGAAATTGTTTCAATTGAAAAGTTGGACAATCTACAAATTTATTTTCACCAATGTATAAATTATTCAGTGCCATATATGTGCAAGCTGAAACCTTACTGCTCTCTGCAGTCACCTTTTAAAATGTTTGGCAACATGGACTGATTCACGTGACTGATGTGTGAAGATTTTGGATGATTGGTGATATATGGGTTTAAAAGCATCCCTAATGGTCCCCCATCATCCACTAACAGCATCTTTATATGACAGTAGCTGAGCAAACCAACCATAATCTAGTGGTCTCAAGATATATCAATGTAGAATCATTATATTTTCACGTGTGGAAAACTATAGCTCAATGGAGCTACTTAAACTGATTTTAACCATTCATGGATAGAGTACCCACAACATCGACAATACAAAAATCCCCATACTAAAATTAATGATTTTGCAGTAGCCAACATGTCTAGATTTGAAAAATGTTAACCTTTGTTTTAGATATAAGATCAATGATAAAACACAAAGCAAGTCATTAAGGATGAAAAACAACACAAGACAGCTGATATTTAATTATATTAATGACCAAAGTCAAAACAAATACATTCATACCAATCATACCGTTATATTATACATTAATACCAAATTACTAGTATTTTTGCCATATAGAACTTCTTTACAAATTGAAATTCAGAAGAAAGAACTACTGAATAAGCCGACATCCACATCTATTGCTGCCCAGGAAAATTACCAACAAATGATTGTATGTACCTTACCTAGGTTGGTCAGGTGACGCAGTGGTAATGCACTCGCCTTTCACCTAGCCGACCTGGGTTCGATTCCCGGAACTGATGTGAAAAGGTAAGTGGTCACCTGCCCGACCACGTGGGTTTTCCCCAGGTACTCCGGTTTCCTCCCACAATAAGACCCCTCGCACGCTTACATCCAGGCCAACAAGAGTGATTAGTATAAGTTGACATAACTTGTTTCGCAATTGTTGTAAAATAAATAAAGTTTATATTTATACCTAGAAAAGAAAACCCACCTAATTGATTGTATGTTGTATAAACTTCCCTGCACAGAAGACCATATATGTAAGCACTGCTCTTAGAAAGTGGTATGGAATTCTTGTAAGAATATATACTGAGAGGAAAAAGAAACGCAATTAGCAGAAAGTTAATATTGTAAATTAAATCTTTGACATACACCCTTGAAACTTGACAAATGTGTGCATTTGAGTTAGTTCCCTATGGTACCATATTAAAATCACTGATGCATAACTAAACTGCGCACGCAGCTTGTACAAAAGAATAAGAAACTAAAGCACGATATCTCGAACCCAGTATAAAGGATTGGTTCAAAATCTCTGTGTGCAAATCTTCAGACATATCAGTCTTGATTTCACACATTTTAAGCATGAACAGTTCACTGTAAAAAAGCCACGACTGTCCGAAGTTGACTGGGGTCATGCCATTGCACCTCTTATGCAAGGTACTCTGCAAAATCAGGTCACTAATCAATTTGGAGTCCATCCATCAAACATTTGCCGTCTCATCCAAAGACTACATGACACCGGAAGGGTTGCAGACCGTCCCCGAAGCGGTCACCCTTGTGTGACGATGCCTCAGCAGGATAAGGAAGTGCGACTTTCGCACCTACGCAATCGCTTTCTGACAGCCACGGAAACAGCAAGGAACACAAATGGGCATCATCATGTTCCAATTGATCCAAAGACAGTGCATACTCGACTGCGTGTCTTCAGTCTAAGACCGTGGCGGCCATATATTGGACCACAGTTTAATGCGCGGCGACGTGCCAGACGAATGCAATGGCTGAACACATATTCCGTGTCCTGTTCTCAGATGAGTCCAGGTTTTCGCTTTACCTGCCAGATGGCAGACGTCATGTCTATAGACGTACCCACAAGCGCTATGCAGATGCTTGCTTGATAGAGAATGACCGCTTTGGAGGACGATCGGTCATGGTACGGGGAGGGATTGCACATGGTATCAAGACTTCTCTGGTCGTTATTCAGGGAAATCTCACGACCATCCGCTATAGAAATCAAGTCCTAGCACCACATGTTGTTCCTCTAGTAAAGCAGCGTCAACTGATGTTTCAGCAGGACAACGCCCGGCCGCATGTAGCAAGGGTTTGCCATGGTTATCTCGCAGCAAACAATGTCCCCATCCTAGACTGACCCCCATGCAGCCCTGACCTCTCCCTAATTGAACATTTATGGGACGAGTTGGACAGAAGGATAAGACGTAGGCCGAATCCTCCAATCAATGCTCAGTTGGCGTTGGCGCTGGATGAGGAATGGAATCGTGCAATTACTGCAGCTCGCGGGGGGCACACACGATATTGATGGGTCCAGAACGCACTTCATTTTGAGTGGGGTACTCTTGAATCAACGTCACATTTGAAAGGTTTACTTAACGTACACGAATGAAATTCTCGTAGATGACAGAGTGGTCAACTATCTTCAAGTTACACCATAACTACAATCTAAAACACTTTTTTCTATTTCCCGTAGTTGACCTGGAAATTCCTAATTGCGTTTCTTTTTCCTCTCAGTATATTTATTACTTTAAAAGTACATTTTACTGTACACTGACCATAGAACTTGCAAATTAAAGGTTAACTATACTCATATATCCCCATATGTCTACTAAGTTCCATCCCTCTTTCTTATTAAGAGTTTAACCAAAATAAATGTGCTGCTATAAAATTTATTTCTTGCATCACATCCCAGTGGGATCCTGGTGCCTTTGTTAGTTCTTTTAAATTTGGATCTTTTCCCTTCTTTCCTCTTTTTTCCTCCTGTTTTAACCCATACGTATATGAATTTATATGAAATTTGAATATTCCTTTGAGGTAATCATTAACTGTGATATCCAAGATGCTCCCCAGTCAGCCATCTCGTTTTCCTTATCAGTACTAAAATAAAAATGGCACAGCTATATATATATGTAATTCAGGAAAGATAATCCAGTAATTCTAAAGATATTGTAAAAATCCATGCTGGATGTCTAGGTCAGTCCAAAAATAAGCAGAAGAATTGTATGGCATGGTGTCAAGTTTGAGAAACATCCATAACATTTTAAGCATTTGTCCAGAAATAGCAATAATAAGTAGAAAATGTCAATTTACAAAATGGCCGCCTATAAGCCATTTTGTTTTCCTCATCACACTCAAAGGTGGACAAGCACAACTAGAGAGCAAGGAGAACCAATATGGACCTACACATCAAGTTTAAGAAATATCCTTCAGGTGTATCTAAAGAAATAGTGATAACAATCTTCAAAGGTGAAACTAAAAGATGGCTGCCTGTTTGCAGGTTTTAGAAGTATCCTCCCACCACTTCTCAGGATACAGCAATAACAAACATAAATTGTGAAAGACAACCACCCCAGTCGACAATTTTGTCCCAATGGTCAGACTTAGATTGCAAGGGCAACCAACATATGATACCTGAGAAATGTTCTTCTCAAGAAAAATTGATAACAAGGATTGTTTATGGAAGGACGACAAACAGATGATGGACCACTGATGTGGGGCTATTTAAATAACATGACACATTGTAGACTAAAATGGCATGGTTTCTTTTCACAAACAGCTTAAGGCAACTGTAGAATACAAATCTGCTGATGATGGATCTCTTATGCAGAAGGCATGTTCAACTCATAACATAGAGCAGCATGTGATTCAGTCTTGACAACCTGCGTGCTAAATCTATGATTCCTTTCTATTAGATATTGTACATATTGAAGAGTTTTTTTCTTATTCCTACCCGACTCTAAAATGGACTCAAATTCTTTTCGTTCCAGAAGACTTTTTAAATACACCAGCAATACCTCTGGAGAGTGGCACAATACTAAAGGACAAGATGCACTATCTTCCATTTTGAACCCATGCTTCTCCAAAATTTTCAAATTTTCGATGACATCCTTTTCATGCAGCAGAATAAGGCCTTTCACATCTTCATCTAATTTCTGTTGTTGTAAATATTCATAGAACAAACTGTGAAGAATTGTTTGAGAACCGTGAAACACTTTTTTAGAAAGGCCAAAATCATTAATTTCTTTCAAATCCAGTTCATGAACTTTCAATCCATACTGCGAAGCATGTGCAAGAAGTGCATTCAAGCTTTCATAAGTAATCCATTTTTCAGGATATCTAGTAAAATCCTTTGGAAAGGTAATCCCTTCATGTTTGAAAAACCTGAAGACATTTTCCTTGCTTGAGAGAGATCGCCTCCAAATATAGCCAGGATACTTTGGTTTCTCCACCATGGTGTATTTTGCATGAAGTAAGTACCTCCATATCCATTGGTCATAATTATGTAATTCAACTGGAAGCATGAACATAGTTTGTTCATTTTTTGTCACATCTAACATGGTATGTAGTCTTTTATTCATCAAAGAAAATAACTGGTGATGCTGAATCATCTGAGGAACAGAGTATCCATGCTCTTTAAGAGTGTGGACATTGGATAAAGTATTGCTCCATGACTTGTTATAATTCTTTTCAATAATACTCGTTAGTAGATGAATATTTGTAAGCGTGCAATCAAGATCTTTGCAAATCCGTACCAGCTCCAATACGTTAGGACAAGAAATGTGTTCCAAGCATTCTTGATTTAGAGCCTTTTGGAGTTTTCGACTTTCAATCTGAAAAAGGACCAAAAGCAATTGGTAGAAAAGACGGGACAGAACAACATCATTACTCATAATTAATATGACATTGATTTATGAACCCATTAAAAGTTATGGAATTCTAATTAATTTATATGCATCAGACAAAACCCAGCAAGAGACTCAGAGGGCCTGTATTGCTGACCTGGTTCTGTTTGGCCAAAATTGATTTAGGCAAGCTAAAAGAAAAGCATAACACTTTTGTGAATAGATTATATACATTTTCTCCATTGGGTCCCACCCCTCTAACCCTGCACCCAGAGATCTCAGCCCAGCAATTCATACAAAAGTCTGCTTCATTTAAGTATCATTCAAAATAAATGTAAGGATAACTCTGTCATTTCTACAGAAGAAAATGGGGTTTTAAAAAAATGGTTATACACATCTGTGAGGCCAGACTCGCCATTTGTTGAAAATACTTTCATTCAACAAAGAAAAGATTAAAAACTGATTCCTCTTTTTTCCTTATTGGGTCCTGGGGCCAACATCTATGGCAAAAGGGGGATCAGGCATATCATTTAAACAAAATGGAGTCCCCTACCTCCACTGATTTTAAGCCCAAATTTTAACAAAATCCTATCATATCAGAGTCAACAATATTTTTACATGTTTGAACGGAATATAAGTAACACGAACTGCTGTAAAAATTTCAAAATGAAAAAAAGGTCAAGGTCACAGTGATCTACACTGCCCTGCACACTGATTTTTGGTAATACAGGTGTACCACAACTTTCATTAAGTATCTTTCACAGTTTGAAAGGTATTGCCCACACAAGAACCAGAAGAACCAATACTAAAAAAACATGTTTCCCACACTTCTTTCCAAAGAGCAATGTGATAACTTACAATCTCATCAAATCTAATTTTGGATGCTGCAGCTATCTGCATAACGTTATGCTGTCTATATTGAAGAAGGTCCCTTCTGAAAGTTTTCAGCAAAACTGTCATTCTGTTTGCTTTCCAAGAGCTTATAACACAACTTTGCTTCCAATGTCTGGTGAAAAGCAACTGATTCCAGTACACTGACATCAGGAGTTTATTTGTTCCAAGTTCCCATTGTACAAATGTAACCATGCTGTAGACATCATTTCAAAACAGCCACAAGTAATCAATTGAAGAAATTACTCCACCCGCAGTATAAGTTCCTCCCTCAATGTTTCTGAAACTGACAAAAAGGAATTATGTTACAAATAAAATTATGAAATGCAATCGTAGATCAATATATACCAAAGAAGAATGATGTCCGTATTTTCAACAGAGTGTTTTGAACAAATTTTTACAGATTTCCCTTCCTTAGAAATACCTAGTTCCAAATTGGTGCCAGAATTAAGCATTGGATGTAAAATGAAATGGTCCTGCAGTCCTGTTTAATAAACTTGGCCCATGCTAATATGCACCATGTTTTCTAACAAAATGACTTCAATGGTTTTTTCAAACTTTTGTCACAACCTTATTTCAAGAATACGATGTCTTTGTACGTCTTGTAGGTCTTTGTACGTCTATCAATACCTGGTCTAATCTCTGTCCTGAAAAAATGTACTTATATCTAAAATTGTCTTGCTGTAATATCTCTTATTGTAAATGGTTAAAAAAAATCAAAATATATCAAGCTAAGTGGATACAACAATTTACAAATATCACAGAATCATAGTACATTTCTTAACATTGGTAATAATGTTCCATGTAAAACATCAGTTCTAGCATATTTTATTTAAAAGGGCTAAATATATATCAGATGAAAAATCATTTACAACGCTGAATCTACCAATTCCAGCAAAGAAGAACATGAGATTCAAGTAGGGATCTTTAATCCATTATCGTTTGATCTTTATTTGTTCTTTAAAAGTTTAATATTTTCCCTTCTTTTCTATCCTTTCCTGTTTTTGATTTTAACTAAATGAAATTTGAAAAAAGAAAAAGCAATAGTAATATCTAACTGCCAAATAAAAGATAGCCACCTGTCAGTCATATTGTTACTCAGATCTGTTCCAAAATTAAAAGAGCACAACAAGGGATCATAAAGAGATCTAAACATGAAATTTGAGAAAGATCCATCCAGTACTTAAGAAATAGCAATAACAAGAACATGGACAGAAGGACCATGGACGTACTGCAATCTGAATATCTAACAGTGTGGTGATGGTAAACCAAAATTAAAAACTTGTCAAAGAATTCATAATTTGAGTTGTATGATCCGACAAACCATTACCGTAAATTTGCGGGTATAATGCGCACTCGGGTATAGTGCGCAGGTACTTTTTTGGGTGTCAGATTAAAAGTTTTCTACTGAAAGATTACTTGATTACTGGTTACCGTGATGAAACAGTTGTGGTTTGATCCATTGATAATTAGGAAACCACAATCATCGTGACCCTAACATAATTAATTACCTTACGTAGACAAATTCACACAGATACCTGACTTAACAAGCATGAAAGGCTTGGTTAATTGGATAAGTAACAAACACATTGAGTAATTTACTGATTCAATTTTCAAATTGGGTCAATGCAGTATAGCTACAGAACTGCAGATCAGTGTAAGATTGTGATGTATGGAAAATCATACCATACATGTTTTCTCTTGGTTAAGTAATATCTAATGAAATATTTGTATTTATTTAAAGAATGAGAAAGACCCTAGAATTGCTCATTACTAAAAGAGGAGAAATAATAAAATTTTTAGATTTCATTAGAAATTTGTTAAATGGCAATTATGCACTTTTTATACACCTGTCAAAAATTTGGCAAATTTTGACAACATGTACCATGGTATTGCACTGTCTATTGGTCCTTTGTAAACTTCAGCCAAACAAGGTCATAAGGCACTTTTTGCCTTACATTCCAAATAATTAACTTGACATAACAACTACACAATGTATGTTTGAAGCTATTTGACACATACATTGGTAGTATATTTTGAGCTTCATGCCAGTGAAATCTGTAAGAATTGTTTTGGATGTCTATCCTTGTTTTCAAGCAAGGCTTAGTATAAAACATTTACTACTTTCTAAGATACCCTGACTGGAAGATGTGGTTATCATAGTGGGCATCTCCAAATCATTTGGGAAACAACTTTCTTTTTTATCTCAAAATGAATTCTTTTTAAGTTGCAATGTCAGCTTTAAGGTTTATTTATGTTGAAACAAGTAAATACAACAAAAGGTTTTTATTAATTACTTAGGAAGAGAAATTTTACTGAAATAAAAATGTCATTTTAAGTAATTTTGAAGATGAATTAAAAAATTTGCTTTTTATCATGCATTAATATTTAAACATAACAAAAAAAATATCAACGATGCTTGCATGCTGTTAATTAAACCAATTTTACTTCTGGGTCACTGTAAGCTCACTCAAGCATCTCTGTGATTTCATCAGCATAGGAATGGCAGTCACATGTCCAATGCATATGTCGGGTCATTTCAGGTGATTGAAACACCCTAAACACCTCAAAATTAATCCAATACACCAAAAACCTTCCTCAAAACATTTGCAAACTACCTCTATCACCTAACTACCACTCCCAACACTAAAAGTCTACCCAAAAACCAAATATTACATCACATAGAGAAAAAGAGATAATCTCAATTACGGTGACCAGATTATTATAGTGGGGAGATAACCATTACAGGTTGTCTCTTATAGATTGCCGTTGATCAAGAATGTTTGTTTGTTTTATTACAATAAAATTATTTCCATTTTAAATGAGAATGGTGAACCATATGTTTTTTCCTTTCTATATTATAAACTATACTATAAAAAGGTAATATATATACATCCTAACTATATATGTAATAGGTTATGCAATTTCCTTTTATTTGTATCAATATTGCATTATCACTTCGTTCATATAATTGTTTTGCAGTCGTCTGGGTGTTGTTTAGGTAGATTACAGGGTTTTTATGGGTGTTTTGGGGTTGTTTTTTAATGTTCTGGTGAAATTTTGGGTGTTTTGGGGTATCGGCATACCTTAGCTAGCGAGCAATGATTCATAAGGGGTCCGAAACTAATGCCCCAAGGGTAAATCATCGTTGCTAGCTCTCGTAGTTCCAAATTCCAAGAGTATCAAGAATATCGAAGGTCAGTGGACAGTTGTCCAATGCTTATAAAGTCACTTAGTCCAGGTAATTTGCTATAACAGACCAGTTTTTAAATGTAACTTACCGTTCCGTGCGTGACTTCTTAAAACACGCGGGCGACACAGATTGTTATTCTAAATTCCGGTCAGGTCGGTTGCGGAATGCAAATAACAAACTGATTAATGCAAATTCAAGCCCGGGTTTAGGTAATAATTGATGGTTATAATCGGCGTTTAAGTTTGGTATTAAATTTTAATACCATCACCATAACTTTAGACTGCATCATGCGTGCGGATACATTAGCACAATATGACAATATGATATACAGTAACGGTCCATATATAGATGTTATAGTGACAAGGGGTGTAACTCCCGAGAAGGAAAAACCTAGTGTTCTATAAGATTTAAATAAGAAAGACGTTATAATCTAAATAAGAAAATGTCGAAAACCGCGTGAAAATTGAGTTATGTGTTTTAATATTGAATTTCTTGTGATACATTAATTACCTTAAAAATAAATGTTTTATCTTTATAATGAATGTTTGATGAACGAGATTGACCTTAGTATAAACCAAGTATAGACTTTGAGTTATTTCATTGCAGTTTCTTATTTGTTTATATCAGGGACTGCGTATGCTCTTTATATCATCGATTTACATTTTAGATGGAGTGAAAATTTAAACGCAGCACTCAAACGTAAACTATCGTTAATTCATTCATAAGGTAAGATTTTTTTTATTTTTAAAAGGGTGAAATAGACTTTTTAAGAAAAATTGAAATTTATTTTTTTCCCCTTTGGTTCTTGAAATATTACTTACATATGATAATCCTAGTGTCTAACGCCAGTGATCGACGGCATAAGAGAAAACATGACGGTAAATGTTTAGAAAGTGGAGTAAAAGTGGAAATTCTACAACGTACGAGACATGCTGTCATCAACTGACAAGCCGTGCGGTTAAGGTCATCTAACACTCAAATGTAATGTATTTGATACCGTAGGACCTGATGCTCATATAAGATCAAAAGCATAGGCTCAGTTTTTCCGTCTTGGGAGTTACACCCCAAAAACAAAACCATGTGATACGCTCACTATTGCTCTCTGCACCATTAGAAGATTTCATGTCAAAATTGGAGGTTCCATATGTAAGACACTCATGAATAAGACGAGAAGGCTAGTTTTATCATTTGATGTACATCAATCGAATCTTAAGTACTGGCTCTGATGTTGGGTGTCGCTCCTTTGTAGTTTTCAAAGGAGCGTATCAGTTTGTGATTGGTCATTTTTTCCCACCTGAAACATACTCTAGACTAATCAAATTACTTTACTTGTGCCTTCATTGTTCATGGGGTGTAGAGAGCGGAAATGACAGTAACAGGTGGAATATCAAGGATTTCTTAACAGTTGTGGACAAGAATGAATGAAAACTAGCCCGTCCTCATTACATGATATGACCGGACGGGATGTCATGCTACCGTTTTCATGTTTTGACAAAATTTAAAGCGTCCGTTAGGAGCTTCATCACCCTTGTAAAAGCACAAATTGCGCCCGTGACATCTCGACTGATTCCGTATCACGATATCAGCCGAAGTTTACCGAATGGCTTCACTATAGACAACTGTGGTGAGACATCGACGTGCTCAATGAATTCTTCCCTTGTATTGGTCTTCTTGACAGTGATTTCAATATTCTGTAAATAATTGACTGCGGGTGTAATATATGAGAGAAAACTACCATTATCGGTTTTTTCAGACAGCGTTAAAAGTTTTCAAATCCCGGCATTGACTTTTGTTTCGTTCACTGTACAATGAATAAGTATCATTTTGGAAAAGCTATCGAAATATGTGGGATATTGGTTTTCTTTGTGTGGCACAGTTTGGGATCAGGTAAGTTAAACAACTTTGTATAATTAAATATTTGTTGTGATTTATTTTTGACATAATATTTTATGATTAAATAGATAGTAACAAGCATCTGATTATGAAACTGCGCTATAAACGCCTCGGACATACCTAATACCCCTATATCCTAGCTATATCTCACCAATACTTCTACTGGATCTATATAATATTTCTTCGATAACCAAGCATTTCATTGCGATACCATATATTTTCCGAGAAACTTCTCATTTTCTCGGTATAAATATGAAAATAATATATATAGGTAGGTAGGGAGGGGGAGGGAGGGAGGAAAGAAAGAGAGATCCCCACTTCCTCACTCTAAGTCTCGACCCCTAATAGTCTAGATTAAGTCTTTATCTTCTTAATCAAACAATGTCTAAAAACGGAAATGAAAAACAAACAAACAAACAAGAAAGCATTCGATTTGGTTTAGTTTTTGGCTGACCCCGCTCGAAGGGCCAAGTGAGCGTATGTTATACCGTGGCGTCCGGCGTCCGTCCATCCGTCAGTCCGTAAACTTTTTTTATCACTACTAGTCATAAACGACTTACAGGGTGTTGACCGAATTTGGTCAGAAAAATCCTTGTGTGAAAAGGAATCAATTTTGTATATAAAAAAAAAAAAAAATGGGGGAAATTTTAAATCCTACTCCTACTTTAGGGTCTCGGCTACCTGGGACGAGAGGGGCGGGACCAAACAGAAGAAATAACACATTATATTTTTCCAAATAAAATCCTACTCTTCCTCTAGGAGTGATTGTATTTTTGTCAACAATTTGTCTGAAGCATAATTGGGTGATGGGAAGTCTTTCTTGTATATAAAAGATGGGTCTCTGGCCCAGGGGCAGGAGGGACGGGGTACAAAAGGGGAAATAGTGCAAATTCTTTAAAATCCTACACGTCCTGTAAGAATGCCTGGATTGGTCTGAAGGATTGGTGAGGGAAGAGTCATCAATTTTGTAAAATCGTTGGGTATTGTCCCTCTGGGATGGGAGGGGTAGGAGGGGCAGGGTCAAATAGCATAAATTCTTTAAAATCCTACTCCTACTGTAGGAATGAATATATTTTGCCCAAATTTGGTCTAAAACATTATTGTTAGAAGATAATTATTTGTATAAACGGCGGATCTCACCCCTAAGGAATGGGACCCAATAGGAGTAGTAGATAAAATTCTTTAAAATTCTTCTCCCTCTGCAAGAATGAGTGGATTATGACCAAATATGACCTGAAGCATGCTTAGGTGAAGAGGAATGCATTTTGTCAGGTGTGCGATACAGGCCCTGTGGGCCTCCTGTTAAAATACAAAATGACAGATAGATTTCAAGGATGAATGTGTTAACCATGTATGTATAAATCAGTATAAACCCATAAGAAACAGTTCAGATATGCACGAATGGAAATCACTGAGTTGAGTTGCATCCCGGTGTCAATACATTATCGATGAGTACCACAGACAAATCGATTCTGATAAATCAAAATGTACTTTGTATTTAGGTGCCCTTAAATCCGTTCTCCCACAATGGAGTACGATGGCGTTCAATTTCATGATATATATGATGTTTATATATTCAAATTAAAAATTCTAAGGTGATCACCATTGAAACAGACACAACTATACACTTGGCAATAAGTTAGAGACCATCCATATCTTTGACTAGACTTGTTCGCTGTGTATCAGAAAAAACATTCAATGACGACTCAACAGGACGTATAGAAACATGTTAAGGCACCAAAAGAAACAGTCGACAGGAAAAAAGAAATTTACATAACTGGAAATGCTATATCGTATTAAGGTTATCTTTCCAGGAGGGCCAGGATGACCTATATAGCCATCGTGTTTCGTCCGTCGTCGTGCGCCGTTCGTAAGTTTTCCATTCAAATTTCTTCTCCATAATCAGAAGGCTCAGGGTACTGATATTGGGCATGTAGCACAAAGGACTGAATGGCTACCAAGTTTATTAATATGAATGACCTACTTCAACTCACAGGGGTAAAATATTTTAAATTATTCAAATATTTTCTTCTAAATCACCAAATGGCCCAGGGTGGTGATATTGGGTGGTGATATTGTTAATATCCATTAATGACCTTGACGTACTTTCAAGGTCACAGGGGTTAAATATGTCAATTTTTTTAAAACTATCTTTTCTTAAAAAACAAAAAAGCCCAGGATACTGATATTAGGCCTGTGACATGATGGGATAAAGGGCTACAAACTTTGTTAATATAAATCATCTTGACCCGCTTTCAATGTCACGGGGTCAAATATGTTAAAATCCTTAAACAACTTCTTCTCAAATACTCAAATAACCAAAAGGCACAGTGTGCTGATATTAGGGATGTAGGACTACCAAGTGTATTCAACTTGAGTCAGGAGTCAAAATTTGTTGAAAAATTTAAGCAACTTCTTCACAATAACCGAAAGTCCAAGGGTCTTTATAATGTGCCGGTATCATTTTTTTCAATAAGCAATACGTGCGGAGTAGTGGCATTTGCGTAATGTATAAAGAATATGATGTAGCAGATTTTGCAGAGAGCTACCCTTCCTTATTGATCGATCTGATAGATTGATATGGGAGGGTAAGCAGGTCGTTGGGGACGGTGAGAAGGTTGATAGGGGAGGTAAGGAGGTCGATAGGGGAGGTAGGAAGGTCGATAGGGGAGGGTACGCTGGTCGATAGGGGAGGTAAAAAGGTCGATAGGGGAGGTAATAAGGTCGATAGGGGAGGTCAGAAGGTCGATGGAGAGGCAAGAAGGTCGATAGGGGAGGGTAAGCTGGTCGATAGGGGAGGTAAGAAGGTCGATAGGGGAGGTCAGAAGGTCGATAGGGGAGGATAAGCTGGTAGATAGGGGAGGTAAGAAGAACGATAGGGGAGGATAAGCTGGTCGATAGGGGAGGTAAGAAGGTCGATAGGGGAGGGTAAGCTGGTCGATATTGGAGGTAAGAAGGTTGATAGGAGAGGGTAAGCTGGTCGATAAAGGGAGGTAAGAAGGTCGATAGAGGAGGATAAGCTGGTCGATAGGGGAGGTAAGAAGGTCGATAGGGGAGGGTAAGCTGGTCGATAGGGGAGGTAAGAAGGTCGATAGGGGAGGTAAGAAGGTCGATAGGGGAGGGTAAGCTGGTCGATAGGGGAGGTAAGAAGGTCGATAGGGGAGGGTAAGCAGGTCGATTAATTTTCAATCTGGTGATAACTGATGGATGGCGTTCGTCTCAGATGGAATGTATCAATTTATGACGTTTTCACTCGTACAAAATTACAAGAACTGAGTTGTGGATTTATGGATATGAGCTGGGCTGTTTTTTAACGTAATTTATTATTTCAGCCTAAACTGATCATTCTTGTTTGCCTTGACGGAAGCGCGAGAGGAGCCTTGTTGCGGGATAAAAATGGAGTACCATGGATGGAGGATGGGGTCAGTGAGGTAATGCACAAGTTCAACATGATATGTATATTCTGTGGTTGTTTTATAAAATCCCCTGGTTTATATAACTTCAGATATCAAAAGCGCATATTTTCTTATCGACGAAAGATACGGTAACCGACTGCCTGTAACAGGGATTTTGTGGGCGAAAACTGACATCCTAGTCCGCCAGTGCTTGTTTGCGTGTCTGGAGGATTTCAATTGTGACTCCGTCTTCTTCAAGAATGTTACCTGTTACGGATATCCCGGAAAGATTCATGATTTGATAGCGGTAACAAATGTCGCCGGAATGAGTTACTACGAGCAAGCAGGTTTGAGTGCTTATATACCTTATACTTTCCACACGCGACAATGTAATGAATGAACAAAAAATTTAGGGTGTATAAGATATCTCACAGTTTCTTGGGTACGTTCTTTTTAAAGGTTTAAGCCTTAGGTTGGATTCCAAAAGGTACAATGATACATGATTCCTTGAATTTTGAATTTCATGGTTTGTCTTCAGCCTTCAGAGTAACATATATACCCATTAACAATATCGTAATTCAAACTAAAAAAGATGAAACTGGGCCAAAGATAAGGGCCAGACGTTCCTCAAGAGTAAGCGTCTTCTGCTTCATCGGTGCCACTCAGAGTATCAGAAGTATGTATTTTGGTTAAATAAATAGTCCGTGTGAAACAGTTCGATTCCCGGAACGGACGTGAAAAGGGTCGCATGCCCGACCACGTGGTTTTTCCTCGGTACTCCGGTTTCCTCCCACAGGAAGGCCCCCTGCGCGGTTCAGTCGGGCCTAAAATAGTGATTAAAATAAGCTGATAGCTTGTTTCGCAATTGTTGTCAAATCAAATAAATAAAGTTTATATCTACGAGACTTTTGAAAAGTTTTATTAACAAGCAAATGATAAAATCATTACTTTTAAAAAAATTCCGACAATCAGCGCAATTTGATAAAGATAATTTTGTTTCGTAAAACACGGATAATCATGAACAGTCCTAAAATGTAATCACGTGAAACCATCATTTTGAACTAAAGTTTGAATGCAGTAGGCGTTTCATATTGCTTTGCTGCCATATGTCGTAACAGTAAAATCAAGGATATAATCGATTAGACTTTAAACAGTCTCATAGAGTAAATAACGAACAATTATTTAAAACATGATTAAAGAATGAATTAGTTGAAAATAAGATCGATACCGATGATTATATACATGTATATATGAACATTGAAGTTCCGTTATACCTGCATGTCCAGTTAAGATGGGTGGAATGGTGAAATTGTTTTCATGACATCAAGTTGAATTTATTACGACTGAGACTAATACTACTATTATCATTTACACCAGTTCATCATGATTCATGCTCGAATAAAGTGAGAGTAAAATTTATCTATTTTCCTGCGAATGTTTAACAAATTATGTAATCTCGTATTAATCACTTTTTCTATCAGGTTCCGGTTTCTGACAAACACCTACTGATAAAACCAATACAAAACGTATGTGTTTGGGTTGTTAATGTAATATTTGCTTTATAAACACAGGTGCAATCGGAAACTTAGCTGCCAGGAAAATGTCAGTTCAGTCATCTTATCACTGGCGAGACCCGAGTAAATTTGGTCCGGAACGTGCAGTAGATGGTGTTCGATATCCCAACCAAAACGATCCAACATTCAGGTCATGCGCTCATACTGGTGTGGGTGATTTTTCCCCCTTCTGGCAAGTCGATCTAGGATCACAATATCTTGTGTCGTCTGTCTCTTTCTTAAGCAGGGAAAGATGTTGTGGTAGGTGGAATTTCATCTTACATTTTCTTCGTATGTTCTGTTTTGACATCAACAATACTCAGCGCCAAGTTACGCTTACTGTTGCTCTTTGCATCCCTGGAACATTTCATGACAAAACTGAATGCACAAGTGGAGTCATTTGATTGGTCTAAAGCGGTTTCAGGATAATATCTTTTTTTAAATTGACCAATCACAGACTGGCACGCCCATTTGAAGATTACAAAGGAGCGGTACCCAAATTCAAAGTCCATACAACATAACATTATGGCACCTCGAGATTCGTTTGATGTACATCAAATGATAATTACTGTCATGAAATATTCCAGCGATGCAGAGAGCGATAGTGAGCGTATACAATGGAGAATCGAGGGTATTCTGAATACGTACCCTCTTACTTCATTATGTTGAGTGCCTAGAATTGCACAAATATCAGACGTACAAACAGATATAATTGAAATTCAAAATCGATGGAACTTGGTTGAAAATGGTGATATGGGCACCTTTAGAACATGTAGGATAAGGTTACATGTGTAAATGTATTTCACGGGTCGTCCAGAATGCTGAGGTGTGACCGAAACTACGCCTGGAAACAAGTCGGCAGACAAGACGGATGCCTACATATCAAATAATATTTAATAATTCATTATAATGGCTTTAAAACTATTGTTAGCATCAAAATATCTCTCCTGTGGTAAGTTTGGACAATTGATGGGAATACTCCCAGCTAAACCGTCTAAATAAAGCGCCTCGGGAAATCCGGAATTTTTGCTGGGGTTACAATTTTATTACTTCATTAGGCTTGTTTTCTCTTGATTTTATAATGTACACAAATATTTCAATATTTTCGGATTATAACATTACATATGGCGCAATCAGGGTCGCGCGAGCGTTTATAGAATGATCTAGTTAGATGTATCAAGAGTTAAACAACATAAGTTTGTTTCAATGGTAAATTGAGAAGTACAATTTCCAAAGAACATAAGTAGGTGATTTTGTATAGTTTTCTTCTAAAACATCCCATTAAATCCTGACTTGTGCGGAATATCCTAGATAGTTTCATGATACCGGATACCCCTTTCCGTCTTCTTTCCGTCTTTGTCTATCTTTGCTAGACGTAAAGACTTGGAAAGAATAATGAAATGAATCCCGGAATGTAAAAAGTATAAAATGAAAATAGTTTCAGATGAAATCGTTAACACTTTTAAACATTGTCACACTGGTTCTATTTACGTAATAACTTTCTTTCATTGTCATTTTTAGATGAGCGTAACACACGCCTGAACATCACTGTGGCAGAAACAGCCACTGGACCACGAATTTTGTGTATGTATTATCCAGGACCGGCCTTCAAGAATCAGATGAAAACATTCTTCTGTGAGACACCAGTGAATGGCCGGTTTGTGAGAGTCGCGCGAGATCGCGAGATTCTGAATCCCTGTGAAATCGAGGTGTACGGTTTCCGATGAACTAGATGTTCCCATATCTATGTAACGTTTCAGCAAAACATAATTAATTACATTACTCATTGTTCTTGTCTGGTGGGCAAAGTACTTGTGATTTTTCATCTGCACCGAAATGGCCGTTTCCTGTTTATACAACAAATTCGAGAACCAGCCAAAAGTCTGTTCGTGCAGATCTAAACTGAGCCTCAAGGAATATCTGTGGCGTAGACATTTTATTCTGTCCAATCAAACTAAAATAAAATCGCTCGGCGCAAAAAGTATGGAATATATGGACGACAAACTGCTGTGGCAAAATGAGATTTTCTTCCTTGCAAACATTACTATCATATTACTGAAAAATGATATATACTTCAGTCTTAGGCCACGTTCATTATCACTTTTCTCCCTGTATTAATCATATGTGGAGTCAATGACTGTATATTACCACAGAGAACGTATGTGCAATATGACTTTAATAGTGGAGTAAATTCCTATAATGATAATAATAGCACTTTTTTACTGAACAAGAACTTCCTGGTTTCACACAAAAATATTTATCAACAGTGATCACCGTCAGATAAAAAAAAATCTAAAATAAATTTGGAAATGTATTTATTTATCAGTTGGAATAATTGCCAACATTATTTTGATGTAATCCGATAAATCTTGAGTATGCCAACAAACATGTTTCCGGAGAAGTATGATAAGTCACCTGAGACTCCGAAATGTTCATCACCAGACAATGTCCCTCGTCAAGTTTAAGTTAATTAAAAGTAGAACTTTAACAGGAAATTTATTGTTGTATTTATCGTTTAGCTCGATATGTTGTTTCACTGTACAGCTTGTAGCATGACAGTCCACAGACTTACATTTTTATTTGGCACATAATGTATTTTGATGCAGATTATAACTTGGTGCACTACTTTCTGATTTACATGTTTCTGAAGTCGTATCAAGTGCATTTTCCTATGTGATACAGAGCACAGGAACCAGAACTGGTTACAATCTTGTATGGACCGTCTTTCTCTGTTTTTGGGGCTCTCATTATTAGCCTGTGTTTACCTACAGGGTTAACCAACAAATCCAAGTCCGTTTTGATTTCCCGCTTTCTATCATATTTTTTGAATACGTCACGTTCGTTTTCTCGTCCGGCATATTGTTATCAATATGTTCATATGGCATCATGTATTTCCTAAGCATGATGTGTTTCATGAATACATAAATGTACCTACATGTAATCAATGAAGAACATGATCTGTCGGTATTTTACTTATGGAAGACTCTCCTCTTCTGATCTGAAATTGATAAGGAGCCTACATATGCGACATGTTAACAATATGTTTCCTTCTGTTTTGATGCTTGGAAATGAACTAGAATAGTCTTTTTTCAGAAATAGAAAATAAAATTCTTCACCCTTGATTTAGATATTTTTAAAAAAAACGAAAGGGATATTGGCGCCCATGATTGTTTGATCTTTATTTGTTCTTTATAAGTTGGGATATTTTCCCTTCTTTCCTCTTGTTTTGCTCTTGATAGAACAAAGTTTTAACATTCTTTTACAGAAATACCGATAATATTCAACTGCCAAATTCAAGATAGTCACCTATCGGCCATTTTGTTTTTCGGTCCAAAAATCGAAACGGGCATAACAAAGAACTGAATTTGAGAAAGATCCGTAGTCATTCTCAAGAAATAGCAATAACACACTTTACTAGGTAAAATTCAAAATGGCCCACTGTCGGCCAATTTGTTTTTCTGATCAGTCCCAAAATCAAACGGTCACAATTAGGGACAAAGAGGAACCTGCACGTGAAATTTTATTTTTTTAAAAATCCATAAAACACTCTTCAAGGTATAGTAATATCATCTGTTGGCCATATTGTTTTTTTATCCGACCCAAACTACAAAGGGCACAACTAGGGACAATGGGGAACCCACAAGTAAAATTTCAGAAAGATCAATCTAGCACTTCTCAAGAAATTGTGGTAATATTGGTTACAGACGATCGGACAACGCATCTGATGACGATGGGCTAAAACAGCTACAAAACTACGGGGAAAGCGTCCTTTTTAACCTACAGTCCTTATATAAATGAAAGTAATACTTTATCCAATATCTTTACCCTCATCAGGTTCTCGGTTATACGGTAACAACAGACAAGACCAAAGCGTTTATAAAACAACATTGGTGAACCTGAGTAAGCCGGATTGTAATAGTGGAATAATTTGCATCTATTGTGATGTTTTAAATACTAAATTCCTCGCTTACACGATTGATTTGTAACTACAACCACACTAGTGTGACGGAGATAAAACATTTGACAAATCTCCTTCTAATAGTTTGCTGTCTCAATAATTCATGTTCGTTGTTATTAATTATTTATAATTCTAGAAATCCAACTCATTAGAGTTGCTTTAATGTATTATTTGTGAGGTAAGTATTGCAGATAGGAACGCACTGCTAATGAAGTGTATCAGAAAATTACAACAACTGCGATTTGTGCCACGTCATGGATCAAGTAACACATATTTTCTTTTCTTTTACAACCGTCCAATATTAAAAAAAAAACCAAATAAATCAAATTATTGGAATAGTACTCTTCACTTCCATTGCTGTTTACATTGACTTAGACCGTTTTTTGTTTCAATTCAGGTTAGAATATCTCAACATTTGAATGATGCAGTCTTATTTTTATCGATGTTTTAATGGACTGTTTAAAGTACTTTGTATAATCCTTACAAGGATTTTTTAAAAATTGATAATACTTGTATGTGGTAAGGTTTTCAGCTATTCAAAATAAATTTTCTTGATTCTTTTAAACACATTTGAGTCTTATTAACGCTACCTTTTATGACCTGATCAATACTAGGATTGTAATAATATGATTGTAAAACGATCAAAAACATGTTTCAATGCATCCAATAATCATCAGTAAAGATGCTGCGAAATGCTTTCAGATATTAACAATCATTATGTGACTGAAGAGGTAGACATTTCCGATGTGAAGAAAGCGAAGACAAATTGAATTTATACATTGATATATCGTTCCCTCTATTGGAGATCGTAAGGGAGTAGTTATCACCCTGGACTATCCACACGTTCATTTATCAGTCAGTCGATCTCAATTCTTTTTCCACATACAATTTTAAGTTCTAGTTATATGTATATATTATACCGTATAATAAGAAGATTAACTCGAGATTTAGAAGGTTTGAGCTTCATATTGAGTTGAACCAGTCTCGCAAACACGGTGTCAAGCCTAGCGATGTGCTAATCAAAAGTTTTGCAAAGTATGAGGATGTCATCGAGAAATTCAAGCATTCCCTAAGATACATATCACCCATACATTTCTCCATAAGATGTTGAAAAGTCAGTGGAAGACAGGTCAGACCAAAACCAATGCGGTTTGTTTCATAGAAACCTAGGTTTCCAACCGAAAGCACAGTGTTCTCTCAGTCCGACTCTAAAATCTCTATCTGCCAGTAACCAGAACATGATTCTAGTTTATTGAAACCTTGACCTAATTAAGGTGTCCACAGTATCATCAAACTGTGGAAGCATGTGTGCATCTTTGCAAGTTCTCGAGTTGAGCATTCGACAGCCAACGCAAAACATAAAAGAGCCATCGTTTTCCCTCATTAAGATGATATTTGCGGAATAAGGACTTCAGGAGAATGCTTATTTCCTGTTCCCAAGCACTTGAGGAACACGTAGCAATTGCTCCTCAGTTTAGAGAGTCGGTGTCAATAACTACATTTAGCCACTCAGGCAGTTTTCGACTTTCTTCCAGGTTGGAACCATCGGCCATTGTTTGGCCAACCGAGAAGCCGGTACTCGTTCTAGATTAATCTGAACCCGACATTTGACCTGAATTCCTTCAGCCTCTACCCTTGGTGTAACCACGGCCCTGACCTTACCTATCACCATGACCGCTGGAGGACTTCAGTTTGTTCAACATCTGTTCTAACTTGGTTATTGACTTTTGACTAGAGTTGCTCCTCAAGATTATTATGCTTTTCATCAAAGGCATTTTTCTGAACTCCAGTCTGCTTCCTGCAAATCACTATCACAAACGATAGCACTGTGCCGAGCTGTGAGGCAGCAGTTGATTGATTTTTATCTGAATGATCCAGTGAATCATTCACGATAGCCAAGAGTAAGGGAATTCAAGTCGGCAACCAAACAATGTTACCAATTTGCTCGGCTTCTGACTGCAGTTGAAGACATATTGCGCAATCGTGTCTTGCGTCGAAATATCTCCGAACAATGTATCAAGGCTTTTTTAAAAATCTCTACCTGGGTATCTCTATTCCTAATGAGAACAAGAGGCACAACGGGCCTGCATCGCTCAACTGGTATTCAATGTTCATCAAAAATAGAATCGGTGATAATATCACAAATACATTTACATATACACCTTTGGCATTAAAAGTCCAATCGAGTTTTACCAATTTCAAAACAAAGAGCTTCAAAGACTCATTTCTAAATCGTGACAGTTGAGGTAGGCCTGTAGTTTAAGTAAATGTTTTTTCCGAAATTTGTTGGGCTTTGACCTAGAAACACATTTCCTCAAAATATCATGCTTCTTGGGCCTTCAAGAAAGATTGATCCATGTGACCTTGATTGAGGATCAAGGTCATTTCTTTTCACAAACTTTGTCGGGCTTCATCCTAGGAACACTTCAGCCAAATATCAGGCTTCTGCAAGTTTTGGTTAGTCAGAAATTGTTGATATGATTTAACAAATTTGACCCCTGTGACCTTTAATAAGAGTCAAGGTCATCTGTTTTCGCTTCAGGCTTCATCCTGGAAACCTATCAGCCAAACACCATGCTTCTGCGCCATTTGGTTAGTCACATGAAGTAGTATGTTTTCACACATTGGACCCCTGTGATCTTGAATAAGTGTCAAGGTCATTTCTTTTAGCAAACGTTTTCTGGCTTCAACCTAGGAACCTATCTTTTCTTGGGCCTGTTCTCTTATAGGTTAAGAGGTCCCTTCAAAAAATTCAGTGACAAAGTGCAAACCCTGGAAATGACATCCCTAATATAAGAGATGAAAACTGAAAATCTGAATGTGTTTATCAAACACTGATCTTGTTCAACCAAGATCTCAGATGTGGTATGACCTTTAAACTCATTTCATAACTGGATAGAATATAGAGAAATCTCCAGCTAGATCAGTGACCTTGACAGAATTTTTATGACAAAATTGACATAGAAGTCTACCTGTTGGTGAATAAACTAAGAACATTCTTCCTGTGGATTTTGGGTCATTGAAAGAAAAGGACAAAGTTTGGATGTTAAAACACAGGTTCTAGGTCAAATATGTAACACAAGTTGGCCATGTGTTGCCATCAAATTTGGTAAAATTATCAAACAGTGCTTTACAATGAAATTCAACATCAATAACAAATTGTGTATAACATGTAAATTCTCCTCAAAGAGAAACCTTTTCTGCTTGTAAACAAAACATGCTTCCTTACCAATATAGATAGTGGATCCGAAATAGAAAACTTCTGTAATACACTCAATTCGATGTTTATTTGATCTACAAGTCAGACCACACAAGTAACAGTAACACATCAAATATAAGAAAATATAACACTGAAGGTCAAGCAGCCAGGTGAAGATGGCACACCATGCCATACACAGAATAAACACTATCCTACAAAGCCACTTACACACACATGGCAAGGACACCTGTGTACTTTTTACTGGAATAAATACAAATGGTATTTTAACATATTTGACCCGTGACCTTGGAAATAGGTCATCATTTAATTAAAAAAACTTCATCTCAGCATGCTACTGACCCAATATCATGGCCCTGGGTCATCTTGTTATTGAGAAAAAGTCATTTAAAGATTTTACCATATTTGACCCTGTAACCTTGGAAATAAGTTAAGGTCATTCATCGCAGCATGCTACTGGCCTAATACCATGACCCTGGGGCATTTTAGTTATTGAGGAAAAGTCGCAAATGTAAATACTTTATAACACACTACTCCAGACAAATGGAGATTGCTGGAGTCTTTGTCTTGGGTTACCTAATACTGCTATCACGAATGGTTATTTGACATAACACGAAGTCCACACGGACTGAAAGGCCTATGGTGTATCAGCGAGGTAGCCGGAAACTGTTACAAAGCAATTTTCTGCCAGACCAAGCTGAAGAGCATACATGTGTGTTCCCATACATATTCCTGGGGAATCCCCTACCAGCACTTGGTTTATGCACAGTGTGCATGGCATAACCTCTAGTTACCACATGTACCAAAAGGCGTAAATGTGGAAAAGGTCATGGACACAGGGTCTAATCTGGTGTTGTATAATCCCACATTCCTGTCTTACAATCATATGCGTGTATTGTCCCTACGTGGGTGCCATTTTGTAGCCAATGGGTTTGCATACAAGTTCTTCCATACATTTATCAAATACACAGACAATCTGACAGGAATCAGCAGTACAGATGTATTGTTTAGCACAAGACTGACCATAAACATGTATTAACATCATGACGACAATATGTAAAATGGAACAACTGAATGACAAAAAAATGTGCATGCATGTGTCATTTGCTCACTCTCACTCACTTGTTACTCAAATATCACTCACAGCACGTGCAGATTGTATGTACATTGGTCACATTGCATAACAACTTCACCCAGCTACATGTAATACATGAAATCAGCGATGCATCATCCCTATATCCCTTTGGTTAATGACGATATAACCCTTATATAAAGTCAATACAAGACCTTTTCTCTTTGTACATGTGTTTATTGACAAAATGATCAACAATATTACATTGTACCACATTGAAGAATGTATTAAATATATATTTGTAGACACTGAAAGACTCGGGTAATGGTCCACATATCAACAGAAACGGCATTATGACTTGGTCTCATGCCAAAATATGAAAGAAACATCCCCTGTAACGCCATCTAGGAACCATTCCTGGAAAAAAGAAGATTTTTTTTTCATTTAGACAAAATTAATCAGCAACAGACTGTTATATTTCACAACAAAAATGTGTTAGTCGTATATATTTGAATTATGTTGAATACCTTATAGTTCTGTGTGGAAGTAAAAAACCTTCATTATGTTATTACCCTAATACTCTTCACAAAATTTGCTCCACTACAAGATAAGGAAGTATTCACTGTGTTAGCTGTCAGCGGTCATTTGGATTATATTTATAATATATATTATATTTCAATCAAAAACTTTAAATTTCTAGTAATTGAAATGTTCTCTTAATTTGACATAAGATTACTGTCAAATTTTTAATTCTTATTACTTAAATATTCTATCTTAAAAGAACATTTTCCTTAATATCTTTCATTAAAACCCAAAGTCAGTTTAAATAACAAAATATCTTTAAATAAAAAAGCAACTACTTCATTGTTTCCCTTCCATACAATGAATTTTCAGACACATACCAGGTCACTACATACTCACAGGATTGGTTTGGCCACTGTTCCCTCGTACATGTTTCCAGTCCATCAACTCCTCCATTCCAAGGTTCCGCTTAGCAGCCTGATGTAAAACGTTAAGCCAAATAATTGCGAATACAATTATCTGTATTCATATAAATAGGGACACAGTTGTATTTCAAGTGATTAAAACTGTGCAAATGATGAATTTTAAGAAATTGATTGTTCACTTTACTTTTCGAAATATCGGCTGTATTTATCTGGCAACAAAAGACTACATTTATTTTTTCTGTTTACATTAAAAATGCCAACCAATCAGCGATATTAATGTACATGCGAGTCCCTAGTCTTGTACTCACAGAGTTTTTATGGGACACATCAAATTTCTGGAAATACTTGAAATTTACATTGCAATAAAGTTGCAAAAAGACAAGTGAAAATAAACTGTTGATTGATAACTGCGCCTATTTTATCATGCTTCTATCATCAACTCCTTCCCATAGTTAAGATTGTGATGTGTTAAATATGTAGTCTGAATGTAGGATAAGCACAGTACAATATTTAAGATACACTGAAGTTATGATATAAAAGAGAACAGAATTCCTTAAATTATCAGCAATTACGCTTTAAAACATTACAACATATCAATGGTAATATCCGACTTTAGTTTATACTGGTTTGTATGCCTACCAAACCAGGAACTTTCAATAATCAAAGCATGTCTATGCCAATAATTTTATTGAACTGTTAGATGACTTCATATATTTATATTCTAAAAGTTTCCAACTGAATAAACAACGCAGTGCTTTCTATTGATAAATAATTGTGAAATGGTGAATAGCTGTAATTAACATAATGTATTTTTGCCAATTCATATACCAGGTAGACAAAAACACTTAAAAATTTTAAATATGATTCATCAATTTCTATTAATGTTTATGATAGTTTCAAATAATATTTTACAAAAATTGTTCAAAATTTGTTAAAATAATTTTCACTGAAAAACAACTTCATTGATTAATCTATAGAGTATTCCTTTCATTTTTGTTGCTGCCAGATCCTAACTGACAAGGTCTGATACTAGAGGGAGCTTTACTTGAGGAAAACCAACTACATGGCATTCTTTAGGGTATCTCTTACCTTTTGGTTGCTGCCAGACCCTAACTGACAAGGTCTGACACTCGAGAGAGCTGTACCTGAGGATGACGAACCCCCTACTGTGTCTATGCCTCCCTGACAGTCACAGCATAGAAGTTCATGCGTGTCACACAGCGTATTGACATTCAGAGAAAATAAATCCTACACAGGAAGCATTATATAAATGTGAGATAATACTTTACACTTTAATATCATTAACTGAATAATTTTCAAACTTTCTGCAAACTATCACAATCATCTCAGTTCATGCATTATGAGTACTTGGTATTGCAAATTTATACCGATATTCTAAGGACTAAAAGATATACATTTCATGACAGAACCCATTAACTTTTTAACGTCACTTAAGAATATATCCAATTACAAGTGAGCAAAAAATAAACAAGAACAGAACAATAAATCAAACTTTTAAGAATCCCATTTTTTAACATCCTGTCTTCAGTGTTACAGTTTCTACCAGAGATGTTTTACCTTAAGGTCCTCCCTAGAGAATTGCACATCATTTTTTCCTGCCTTAGATTCCATGACTGCTCCACTGAGGCCCTGCTTGGTGATCTGTCGCTGGTAGATCTTTTCCTCAATGGAGCCCTGACATGTATTCAAATTGATTGGAATCAACTAGGAATTAATGTGTACTTCTCTTGAAAAAAGTATTTCTTCAAATCTACAGTCAAAACTTCTCAGGGGACCATGGAAAGTATTTAAACTTATCCAACTTTCAACTCAAGTATTTCTTCAAATCTAGTCAAAACTTCTCAGGGGACCATGGAAAGTATTTAAACTTATCCAACTTTCAACTCAAAGTGTCCAAATAAGGTTAAAATTATCAATTTCTAGACATTGATTACGGTTGAACAAAATGTGATAGCATGGCACTGCATGGCACTTACAGTGTAATTTGCTTCATTATTTGAAATGGCAGTAAATAAATATAAACATTTTCTCATCATACTGTTTATTAATTCAAATACCAAATCATGTAATAACAATATCAATCAATTATGTGTACATTTGTACTCACTTCATTCCATCCTGCACACGTAATAAAGATAACATATTTTATGGAATGTCAATAAAATAAAAATAAAATTTACTTTTTACATGCTACTAGAAAAGATGTATGAAGCAGATCATATTAATATGAATTTATTATGAATGAATAAACATATGAAAAAGGCGACACTGGCAAGCTTTTTCCATTTATAGAAAACTTCACAATTCATTATAAAATAATGACTCTATCAATGAGAAATACTTTCAGCACTGCATTTTCCAAGCACCAAATCAAAGTCCCTGATCATAGTCTAGTTCACAAGCACAAAAATTTGTTTCTCTCGAAATTGTTAGATTTTGTCAAAAAGTACATACTGGTTTACTTGGATTGGTTTTGTTTTGATTTTTTTAATGTTCCTAAAGATGCTGGCAACCAAGTGAACTGTTTTTATGTCTTGTATAAATGTTTAATGTACAGGTAAGTCACTGCTACAGGAAGGCGACACTAGTTAAGAAGCCAACATTTAACTGGATAATTAAACTGGTAAATCAATATCGTTACGCACAGCTGACTTTTGACTGTGTACGTATCGACTGATTTCTTTAGAAGATGTGCCAATGATGTATTAACAAAAATTAATTTCCAGGCAACGAATGACTATTCTCCTCGTTTTATAATTAAAGGGACTGAAAAATCATTTCTACTCTATGAAACTCTAAATCATCCAAACTAAAATTACAAAGAAGGAAGAAATCAGGACTTGAAAATCATTTTGACTCAAACGGAATATCAACTTGAGCGATTTCAAGGCAAGTTTCAACTGTATCTTAAAATTAACACCCTTTCGAAAGCTACCAACAGCTATGGACTAGAAACTGGCATGCTGTAAGTGGCAGTTGTTTTTTGATCACCATGAACCAACATGTACATTGACAATATATATACTTTTCATGAAAATCACACTGGGTACATTACATAAAAAAATGTATACCAAAATATGTTCTTATTTGGAGAATTGTTGGTGCTATGCTCATTGCTGTGTAGAGACTTACAGTGGTTAGTAATCTGTAGATATAAACCTGTTTTGTCTGTCCATCACGCCACACTCGTGCCATAGCCTGCAAAAACACAATAACTTTGTACAGCATTTTTAATATCAAGGAGAATATATGAGTCAGAAAAACATATATTTTGTAACTGAATGAAGAGTTAACAAATGCATTAACAGAGCAAAATACATATGAAACATCCTTAGTTATTTGAATATCAAGTCATATGTTTCTTACCTTAATTATAAGTTACACACTTTTGTGGACTGAATGAAAGAATCTCATTTACATTGAGAAGTAATGGTCATATAACAAAATCAAGCAACAAATACTGAAGGATACAAACCTGTAGATCATTGGCAGGGTTCCAGTCAATATCATACAGCACCAATCTGGAGGCTCCTATCAGGTTCAGACCCACACCTCCAGCCTTGGAACTCAACAGGAATACAACTGTTGAATATTATGATCAGTATCAGAATCTTACGTTCATTGTATCCTCAATGTTATTTCTAGTTCAGCTTCAACATTCCAACCACTTTTGTTCCTACAAAAACTAGCTGAATTATGAGACAGTGAGATAACATTCTTAACTTCTGAGAAATTCTTTAAGGCTTACCTAATTCAAGGGAGCTGTTCAAATTTTTTAACAGGTCCCAGTTTTGTGAATCATCACTCACATAGAAAAGCATTACTTTAGTTAAGGACAAAATTCTAATTTACGGAAATTACCTGAACTTATGTAATGCTTTCCTGTGGAAAATTTTTAGTTAAGGAAAATTCCTTAAGTTAAGGAAGGTTCATGAAACTAAGGCCAGGACATGCCTAAGTTAAGAAAATTTCATGAAATTTGGACCCTCAATCTTAATTTGATAGCTGTGGGCAACTGAAAAAGTGGAAATGAATTATGGTGGCTCTACTCTATTATGAATGTACCTCTGTAGTATGATAAAGTGAAGCCCATGTTAGAGTGAACCGCAGTTCATTGGTGACACATGTACCTCCTCCCCATGGTAAAGTGAAGTAACTATATATTTTGTTTTCAATTGCTGTTTCTTCACTTAATTTTTCATCGGTTTACTTCATTATGTTCCTCACATAATAAAGCAAAAAACATGATGGGGAAATTTTGGGTGGGGCATGTGGGAGGTGGGGGGGTGGGGGGGTTCACTTCACCATGGCCATGGTAAAGTGAAGCATTAAGCTATTTTCTTACTAATTAACTTTTTTTCAGCAAGTTTTTGCAATTCACCCTGATTCAATCATATAAACTCATAAATAATAAAAAAAAAATATGTCTGGGGCAGGGGGTGGGGGGATGGGTTCACTTCAGATGAAGTGACATGGCCATTATTAGTATTAGTAAAATAAGTAAATAAGTAAAAATAGTGAAATGGCCCAGCCAACCCTAAATTTCCCCAACCATTGTTATTTTTCAGTTTTATTATGTTTGGAAGAACTTAATTAGTCAAAGTGATAAGAAATTAAGTGCAGAAACATCAATTGAATACAAAATATAAAGTGGCTTTACTTTACCATGGAGATGGGGGTCGAGGGGGTTTCATTTCACCATTCTGGTATTTTGACCCCAGCTCACACCTACACTAGTATTGTACATTTTCAGAGTCAGTTCACTGAGTATTAACTTCAATGGGTACAGACTTCACAGAATACATTCGGTTTCCTTGATATTACTTACAAAATAATTTAACCGCACATATGTAACAGGTAGTATTTTGAATAGTTGATATTTTCAAGATTATACCTGTTTAAAAGTAAAAAGACCATAAATTCTCAAACAATATTTTACCATCAATGATTCAGGAGATTTGCTAATCTTACATTCTTTAGAAAATTTGTTGTTAAACTTTGTGACAAGTTCCTGACGTCGGTTTGTAGGTGTCTGGCCATCAAGTCTAAGAAAGCCATACCTTTTCTGGTCGCAAAACTTCTGCAGCACGTCTAAAGTCTGCCAGGAAGCAAGCATATTACAGTATTACAACATGGTTTGGCAAGTGAAACAAATTCCATCATTTTCCGAAATAAATAATGTGCAATAAAGTTGGCAGAAAATGGGTAAGTGTGTGAAGTTTGATCAGAAGTGCTGAAGGGATAACATTGCTAGAATGAAGACAAATAATTCCTAAAAACAGTAATGATGACCTTGACCTTTACCCCAAAACTCCAACTTGTCCAAAATAACATATTCATAAGTGTGTAAAGTTATTTTTTCCCAAATTCCTTAAAGTATGATGCTGCTAGGATGCTGACCACACATTTCTAAAAGTGACTTTGACCTTGATCCTAGAACCCTATTTAGCAACAACTATGGATATAGACAATCCAGTTTTCAAATCAATACCTACAGTCTAAGCTAAATCAACATCATGCGGTTAGCAGTTTTTATCCTCTTTATTCTAATCACTCTTTTAGATAATCTGAATTTCTGAACCTAACAGGGCCTTATACTATTGACCAAACTCAACATGTTAAAGGAAATAGAGATTTTTCCCTGTACTGACAGAATTCAACTAGAATTAAATTGGGAAGTGCTGGTGTCTCATAGCTGAGGGGAAATGACTCTTTGAAAACTTGGGCAAATACCTTTGTATGGTTGGACACAAGAACCACCTTCTCTGTTGGACACTGCTTATGGAGGTCTGCTAAGAGCCCTGCCAGCACTTGCAGCTTCCCAGAGAATCTCTCCAAATGCTCCTCCTCTAGCAATCCTTCTGGGTAGAGAGGGAATAATCCTTCGTACACTGACGATTCCTTAAAATACAAATTTATTGTTACATAAGCTGATGATAACCATTTACAAATCAAATAATTTCTTATACAAAAATTTCTACAACAAATATCCATTAACCATTATCAGAGATATACCAGATAAATATATTGGACTAACACAAAAGAAATACAACTAAAAGACAATGTAGTACAGTATTGCAAAGTTTGCAAATATCTGTAAATTCTATAATTTTGGAAATTTCACTATTTAAAAAAGAGTTTAAACCGGGAGGATTAACCAGAGATATATATAATTTGCTTAGATTTTGGAAATTTCACTATTTAAAAAAGAGTTTAAACCGGGAGGATTAACCAGAGATATATATAATTTGCTTAGATTTTGGAAATTTCACTATTTAAAAAAGAGAACCACTTTCTATATATAATTTGCTTTTGGAGAGTTTAAAGCCCTGCCAGCATATATATAATTTGCAGATTTTGGAAATTTCTATTTAAAAAAGATCTTCCAAAGGATCCTCCTCTATATATAATTTGCTTAGATTTTGGAAATTTCTTCTGGGTAGAGAGGGATATATAATTTGCTTAGATTTTGGAAATTTCACTATTTAAAAAAGAGTTTAAACTACAAGATATATATAATTTGTTACATAAAAAAAGCTGATGATAACCATTTACAAGATATATATAATTTGCTTAGATTTTGGAAATTTCACTATTTAAAAAAATATCCATTAAATTTCACATTATCAGAGATATACCAGATATATATATATTTTGGAAACACAAAAGAAATACAACTAAAAGACATATATATAATTTGCTTAGATTTTGGAAATTTCAGTATTTAAAAAAGAGTTTGCAAATATATATATAATTTGCTTAATTTTGGAAATTTCACTATTTAAAAAAGAGTTTAAACCGGGAGGATTAACCAGAGATATATATAATTTGCTTTGACAATTGATTTTTCTTCAATGATGCATTTCAATAGAACAACTTCTAAGAAATACTTAGTAATTGAGAGATGTCTCAAAGGACCAGGTACCAACCTCATCTAGGCTGTTTTGATGTGCATTCTTGGCTTTGCTGTGGAGGAGTAATGGGTGATTACAAAGCTGTTTTAAGGCTCCTATACAAATCAAGTGTGGCGCTCCCTCCATCTGTCCAGTCAGACATGCCCTAATTAGCCGGCAACTCAACAGAACTCGATACAGCTGCATCTGTAGGTCTGATGGGCTACAGAAAACCACCACTTCACCTGATAACAAAATCATAATTTGTGATGTATCTATCTAAAAATGTTTTCCACCAAATATCAAACAAACATTTTGGCACAACATTCGATGTATCTCATTCCACTAAAAGCCTGTTAAAACACACTAACAAATCAAAGGATTAAAGATATTCATATACATGTGTAGGTAATGTTATTTTATTCTTCAGTGGTTGTTTGCAGACCCTGTGACCAAACAAACATTTTGCAACATAACAGTTGCCATCAAGTATAAAGTCATTCACCTTAGCTAAAAGCCTGTTGTTGATAAACACAAATTGCCAAGGGTTATGTAGGCCAACGTTCTAACCAAATGTGCTATCACTTGGCCCCTTTGCTGTCTCAAACGACCTGGTACAGTACCTTCCAGTACTAATTAAGTACAAACTCATATTTACAGAATGATAATTGTATGACAAGCTTCATCATCAAGCTCTATTTATATAAACATTGCTTACCTGATGACAATAAACAATATTAACAGATATTAACAAAACCATTGACAGTGTCAGGTAAGGATAGCCTTGTTGATTGTGATAGACAAGACTTACTTTTTGGCGGTAGATATTTGTTATTGATTTCCTGTGTGCGCCGTAGCAGGAAAAGTTTGATGAGACGAGACAGTTCTGAGGCACGTTCCTCCCCAATGTCTAGTACCTCCTGACTTGCTCCAGGTTGACGTGAGGCTACAATCGGATTCTCATAAATATTCTTGAAAGCAGAGCTTGATCCTGAGATGTAAAGAAATTTCATATTTAATGAAAATCCCAATACATATACAATGATTGACATATTCTAATAACTTAACTGATACAAAAGGTAAGCAATTTAGCATAGATTGCAATGATTTTATTTAATAATACATATTCAAGTCACAGTGCATTATGGTACAAAACATTATGAAATGCAAAACCTTAAGTCACTTTCTGTACAATTCAAAACTATTCTCTTTGATTATAAAAAGTTATGAAATTCAATATTCAAGATTTAGATCCCTTAGGTACAAATTTCTCGTATGTGCAGATTCTGTAAGTCATTTTGCAATGCTTATGTCCATACCTAGTATTCCTGGATTACAGAACTCTACGATGGAGTAAAACTCTTGAAGATCATTCTGTATTGGTGTTCCTGTCAGTACCACTCTCTTTCTGGTGGGTAGTGACATGATCAGCTGTAAACCAAAGGGTCAAAATTTAGACCTGGCAATACACTCTTGTTCTTAGTCATTGTTTCAGGCAGTTAACAAAAGCACACTCAAAGTTTCATGAAATTTAATAAATATTTTTACTTTTCATCAAGTCCTTTATTGCATCATTCTTGGAAAAAAATGGGAAAAAAAACAACTTTTGGTACACTTACATCTTTTTTCCCCAAGAAATCATTTGTAAAATAAATATTTAATATACAGTAAAACCTGTGTTCAGCAGACAGTTACCAGACCTGACCAGATAAACTATCTGTTATATAGAGGAGTTCACTGAATTAAGGACAATTACCAACTGTCAAAACTTTCATATGCCCTGTGTAAAATCACTCCAATCATTGAATAAACATGCTTACAATGCACATGACTTAAACACTTGATAAATTATCAAAATATCTATTTCATAAATGATAAAGAACATATGAATTACATGTTTTTATGATGAAATATTTCAAATTCATAAAAATAATTTATCAAAAGATCTGAAAAAGTCTCTTGGCCCTCTAACATAAAATACTGATTTATAATTCTGCGTAAATGCCATTAAAACACTTATTAAAAAGAGCTACAAAAGTTAATTACAAATGTCCAGCAACTGTTAAGTATGAAAACTGTCATGTTGTTGCTTCCATGCTTCCTTACACACAATGCAGGACTCATGTCGTGATATAAGTTTGTCCACAGGTTTTACAACCATCTGATCAGCAGCCTCGAGTCCGTAATGACTCGGTTTAAACCTGAAGAGCTTGTTGCTCTAACAAGTCTCTAACACGTGTCACGGTGATAATATCAGTGCTGTTCTCAATAGAAGTAGGGACAGGCAACTGCTAGTGTAAATTTATTGATTATACAATAACTGACTTCAAATCAAGGTCTTTTTTAAAGAAATTATGTATGTTGGGGCCCACACGGGTGCCTGTTGTCCAGATAAGAGAGGTGTCCGCTTATTTGAAATGGACAATACTAGTGTTATATGGTAATGTAAATTGGGACCTTGACAATCTGTCCGTTATAGGAGGGTGTCCCCTTACTTGAGGTGTGCATTATGGCAGGTTTTATAAACTGTTATATGATGGTTAAAATCTTCAAAGGTATTTTTTTTTCAATAAAGTCATGAGGCAAACGATTATCTATTCTATCAATTCTACTTTCAAGGCACTGTAGATGTACTCAGCATAATGCAATTTTAGAACTATCTCCAGTCCTTCTGGCGCATTAGTACAAGAATGAATTAAGGCATTAAAGGCAGAAGTAGCCATGTTTTAGTGCATTACTTTCATCATGAAAAATGCTAAAATAAGATTACGTAGGTACTTGCTAAAGTAAGTATGTTTACAGTATCTAATTTTTATGGGGAAAAACATAAGAAAAAATGTAAATCCCTCAAAATTACAAATGTTTATGATATCAAGTGATTTATGAGACTCAGATATGTGAGTCCTTGACTCATGCTTTTTGTGTGAGACTTGCCCAAATTTTGAGAAACCACTACCTGGTAAATGACTTAGTAATGTGTCTCCTTAAAATTTTGGAAATAGTGTTCTGGGCTCATATGAATAAATTTCACAAAGCTTGCTACAGCATTTCACTGCATTTTTGTTCTGAAGGACATATAAAATTAACCTTTCAGACATTGGTAAAATTGTTGGATACAAAATATCACAGAAAGATGGCCTATCACAAATGTTAAAAAAGGGTTACAGACAAACAGGGTAAATGTTGAGACCCATTATGAGATTTTCTGTAAAAATTGACAAATAAAGAACTCACAGATGTTGTTTTGATTGCTGTGTTTTTCAGTCTGTGTCCTTCATCACAGATGATGAGATCAAACCGGAGTTTCTGGATCATCTCATACGCTCGCACAAACATTTCATATGATATGATGAGGACAGGATATATAGCAGTATTCATGAAATCCTGTTGTAAGAAAGTTTCATAGTATATTAAATACTCATAGGCCTTAACAGTCACCTGCTATAATCACAGTTGTTATCATCACCTAACATTGGGATTATAACCTTAACAGAGAAAAATTATAATTGCATGTATATATACTGTCAATGCATAGCAAAGTTTCTGATAAATTTGTTTCCTTAATGTAGTTAAGAATTATTGTAATATATGTATACCCAAAAGCATTTTTTCTTAGATAGAAACCATAATCAAATTTATACTATCCTTTCTGAAAGTTACATTTTTCTTAATGGATCTCTGCAGAGGAAGATTTCTGAAATAAAATGTATTTGAATTTAAAAGCAAATGAGTCTTACATTTCAGGACCTAGGGTTGAAAATCCACAACTATTTTTTTTCTTTTTTATTTCATACTACCAAATTGTTATCTGTTATTAACAATTCTAAACAGGACTAAATAATTTCTTACTTTAACTAATTAAAACTTCACCCAAAAAGCTGTTTTTCTATATAAATAATGGTAAAATTTACTCCCTCTCTAAAATAAAAAGGGGAGCCTATTGGGTATAAATTTACAATTTTGACAAAAAACTTGGGAACACTTTCCATCCATGGAGTTTTGGATTGTACAATATCTCTAGTCAAGGGAAGATTTTTCTGTTCAAATATAGGAATTTTCTCCTTTTGAACTCCATCGTTCAAACCCCAGGATTTGGGATCTGCTATGTGATGAGAATAATTCTAATCAAGAAAAAATATTTCTCATTTTGAGCCCTGTCCCTTCAGGCCCTATGGGGTTGGGAGCTGCATAATATCAAATTGTTATCAAAGAATGTTCATTTCTCACTGAAAAATTAAAAAAATAAAAATTATACCCAATTTGTTAATTTCCTACAACAATGTATAAACTATAGCAAAATTTACTCTCTACCTGAAGGAAAACGGAACCCAAGGGGTTAAGAAATTTACGATTTTGACAAAGCACCTCGAGACCTTTCCAACCATGGGATGTCTCCTACAGTATCTTAGTCTGAAGAAGAAAGATTTTTAAACATAAATAAGTTTTTCTCCTTTTGGTCCTGCCCTCCTGACCTCTGGAAACTTGAATCATGCAATTTACAATTTTAGTTTGTCATTGGCTGTGAAAACTTTCTGCAAAATTTATTGAAATCATTTTTAAGGTTTTCAAAAAGAAAGTAAAAATGTGAAAATGTTAACAGATGACGACCAATGACCAATGATAGACACAGACAGATCATGAGATCAGAAAAGGTCACTGAGCTTCACTCTGGTGACCTCAAGATACACGTAGAGTAGATATGTGATGATATCAAAAGTTTTTCTTGAACTTTTTTTAATGATTATACATTGGATATTGTACCTCAACACGTTGATCTGTACTGACAGCATACACTGACAAGCGTTCATTGCCTAACCATTTCTTTATTTCCTTCTGCCAGTTCTGCAACTCAAATTTCACAACATCCAATTTATAATATATTATACTCTGTGACATGGTTCAATTGAATTCATCTTTTCAGTCTGGAATGGTGTAAAACTATGTCAATACTTCTAGATATGCTATCCAGTCACAAGGTCTAATATGAATTTTGAAACACAATTGGTACTACATTTTGTCTACTGAAAAGGTTTTCTTTTCCCCCCGATTGGATCAAGTGTGACCTCTGACCCTTCAACCATGACTGATGACTACGCTATAAAGTAAAAATGCATGTCAGAAAGCTATGGCAGCGATGAATAAAATCTTTAAGTCTATTAGTGGTTGTGTGATGCATTGGATTGCTCTATGTGGGGGTTGTAATCAACCCTAACAGAACATTCAGAAATAGATGTGTAGAATTTTTTGTTTGGTTAGCATTACTATACATTACCTTGACTAAACTGCCTGGGGTAATGATGAGAGCCTTCTTCATTACGGGTCGGCCACCATATGGTCCCTGCTTGAGGAGAGTCCTGTAAAAAATATACAATTATCATCTTACACAATTAATCAAAATGTTATCATCAAAATGCAATATTTCATATTTATAAGCTATACATGATTGCTTGTCGAACGAAAAATTGTTTCTGTCAAATTGGTGTTTATTATTTAATAGCAAAATGTGTTTAGTTTAGCTTAGTCCTGTAATCATCATATTACACAATCAAAACATTATCAAAATGCAATATTTCATATTTCAATGCTATACATGATTGCTTGTCAAACAAAAAATAGGTAAACATTCATTATTTCTGTCAAATTGATGTTTATTCCTTTAATTCAAATATCAAAAGTGTTTAGTCTATCTTACAAATCTTACAAACCATATTAGAGCAATACACTGCAGAGTTTTCCCGAGGCCCATGTCATCTCTGAAAGGACAAATTAAGGTGATTAATATTATAGATCCATCTGCAATAAGTCCATGGGCCAACATACCAATTCTAACTCAAAATCAGGAGGTGGGCTTATTACAAGATGATGGGCTTTTCATTGGGCTAAAGTGATAATGAATATTCAGAAACTGCCTTTTTCAGGGACCCAGCTAAATTTAATGAACATATTCATGACTGGTACTCTTGGCATTTTCAAGAAAGATGCATATTCTAACAAAGAACAGCATTTTATGTATAAAAACATGTTAAACAAACTTTCAACTTTTGATTTTCTCTAGCAACATTCTTTACACATGTTACACAGCTTGTCTGTCAATAATGATAAATCTTGCATATCAATCACACTGTTGATTGTACCAGTCTTAATACAAGTAAGGTGAACGACTGCTGTATCCAAACATGTGTTTGTCCTAATGGGTGAACAACAATTTGAAGAATATCCTTTATCAGGTGAATGCAATCAAGAACAGATCTAAATAAAACATGTGCTGAACATTGTTCATGATATTAATTGCCAGCAATGTTGTTCAGGTTTGTTTGGTTTTTTTTTTATTCCTCTTTACATGAATATAACTGAGAAATGAACATTACATATAACAAACTTTTGTAATCCAGTTTTTCTTATGAATAAATGTTCTTGTACATATGTATCACAACCAATCAGAAAAATATATATGCGGAATTTCAATTTTTTCACAGTCATCTTCATCACACAAATAACCAGTGTGAAGGTATTTGCAGTGAGGTATTCATTGTACAAGATGATAATAAAATGACAGGACTTTCTGGCTTAGTATTATCTAAAGTATGCTAAGGTGGAAAGATGGTGGTCACATAAAAGTAGTCATTTGTCTGAAGGTGACAGTGAAGTCATCAAAATGCCATGCCTAATTTTTAAACTGATTGTGATAAAAAAAAAACTACTCTAAATACATAACCAACCTGCAAGAAATGTTCCAATATACTTGAAGTTTCTGAGTCCATTGTAACATAACAAAATTGATTAAAACTTATTTTCTTACATTAGTACTTACGCAAGAATGGCCCCTTGGCCGCCAAAATCTCTGAATCCCATGATGCACTCGTAAAGGAAGATCACTCCCTCTCTCTGGTGTGGACGAAGATGGGACGCTATGTGTGGGTCGACAACCACATCAACAATGGGCAGGGAGTTCTTGTTTGTAAACCACTGAAAAAATGGCAGTGGATGATTTCAATCAAAACAAAATCCATGTTAAATTACATCATAAACATTTGTCAAAATATTCCACCATGATCAGAGATCAAGTCATTGTTAGCACCATACCACCATATCATACAAGCACTGTGGCAAAAATTAAAGTCTAAGCCAGACCTGAATGCTAAATCCTACCAGAACATGATAAGACTATCTGTTCCCATGGTAACCAAAGAAATATCGATACTGAAAACACATTTATAGCAGGAAGTACTACTAGACAATTGGGTTGGTGAGTGTAATGAACAGATTCAGAAAAACAGAGAAGAAAGCTCAGTTAAACCCTACTGCTATAGCTTACTAAAGTGAAGTTTATCCAAACCAAGTCAAAAATATAGGTCACAGTGACCTACAAGTAATACAGCAGAAAGCACATCTGCCAAGTTTCAAGATTAATAATGCACAGTTCCAGAGAAAAATCAATTTCATATTTTAGACACACCAACATGCATGATATGTGGATGGACTGGGGAACAGGCTTCAATGCATCATGTGAGAGGGGGCATAAAAATTTTAAAAACTAAGGATTTTTAATCTAAAACAGCAAAAATAAGCTTTGATTACTTTTATAGGTAATACTCTCTCTAAAAACAGAAATAACACAAACAAAACATCTCCAGTGTTACTTATGACAAATGATTACCTGGTGTTGTTTGCCTGGTCTTGGCATCACCAGAGCACCAGGCTGATCTATGCTGTGTCTAGGCTGTACTTGGTACTGTGTGGTGGAGGCCTAAAACACAAACATATCCCAATCTCAGTATTCCTGATTCTATTTATTGACCTTTAGAATAAAAACATAAAATTATGATAAAGAAACAATTTAATCTGAGCTCTATAAGGGTGTTTGTTCTGTTTACTTGTCTACATGTTTCTGCCTGCTATGTTATCATTATCAGGACCAGGAACGTAAAATTACAATAAGGATATTTTCTTGTTTCAAGATTGGCTGTACATGTAATTACAAAAAAGGGTAACAAAATTGGAAGTATGTGTTTGTTTTGTTGTGCATGAAGTCATTCAGAACTAATTAATTAATATCTACATTTCAGTTTTGTATACTGGTTATCAAATGAGGGAAATGTCTTCAGACAAAGGTTTACCGTAGGTTTGACAGCAGTCTGTGTAGAGTGGCCCTGTGTCTGTGGGCTAACAAATGCTTTATTGATGGTCCCACTTTGTACTGTAAACAGAAACAAAAGGAAAGTTCTGAAATTACCTACTGTATATTCTAATTCGTAAAAAAATATTGATAATAAATAGTAACAGAGGTGATAACACATGCATATACATTGTATGTGTAACAACTATCCACATTTTCAGTGAAACGAATTGTTGTTTTGTACTCAAAAAGAATAATGTAAATAAAAACACTGCATGCCTCAATCATTCATTATCATTTAAATAAAATATACATCTTTTTTTCTGTATCTATTTAGGTTTGTTATCATTGAAAAGAAAATTGAATAGGGCAAATAATTTTTGATAGGAAGTGGTTGCAATACCTGACTCTAATGACTTACACAATGAAGGACTGGGAGCTGATTGTGTTAGTGATGAAGCAGAGAAGCATTTCCCTGACTTAAACTGTTGTTGCGTCATCACAGACATCACCTGTGAGAAGGGAGACAACTTATTGTACTACCAATCCATGATTTGCTTTCTCTAAATTTCATAAATCATTTACTATCAAGTTTCATTCAAACATTTTTTTCAAAGAAGCACAGATGAGAAAAAATATTTTATAAACAAATAATTCTTTGTTGATCATGTCAAAGTCTGGCATCAAATACTATGAGGATTACAATATATTGGACACAAAAAATGAGAAAATATGATTGATCAGCAATCAATTTCTATATTCAAAACGTATGTTCAAGTTGAAATTCTTTCAACAACATCATCAAGCCACTAATTTGTTAATATAATTTAAATAAAAACATGTATATTAAAGGCATTAGAATAAATTCAGTACCTGGATTTCTTTACCGCCAACAACTAAGGTTTCATCATCCTTCAGTGTTTCTAACTCTGTAGATTTGTAGCCGGAAGATTTACCAATTCTTGAAAATGAATTACATATGGTAATATTTAAGAAAACAAAATGAGAATTAATTTCAAATGTGACCAGATGTAAATCTTTCTTTAATATATATATTTTTATATATATTTTGTACAATAATTGACTCAATCATCAAAGACTGAACAGACGAAATTTAAATTATCAATAAATATCCTATTGTCACAAACACCTTTAAGATTGCTGATGACTAAGAAGAAGTTGAAACATGTATTGCTTTCACTAATTCATTAGTAACAACTATTTGAGATGATTTTCTACTCTTAATTATTGAAATGAAGCAGGCTATAAACATTACACATTATTAAGGCTATATTCCAGTAAAACACCGACGACTTTAGATTTGGTAATGGCTATTCCATTGAAACAGCTTTACAACCCCTGGACTCATGTGTTTTTCTGGTGGGGTGTCATGTGTCAAATTTAATTTTGCTTAGAAGTAATTGGCTTGAAACAGAACCACAGATTGACATGATCTTTTTTGGAGTCATGGGGTCAAGAAGATATTTCACAGGAATAGCTCTTAATAAATAAATATTAACCATTATTTATCTTAGAACAATTGTGAAAAAAGTTTTCCAACTTATCTACTAATCATGCTTGTTGGCCCATATTAAAGTGTGTGATGGGTCTCACTGTTGGAGGAAGCCAGAGTACCCAGTGGGAAACCCTGTGATGGGGTAGGTGAGACCCTTAACCTTGCTCGACTACATTGGTTTTCCAAGGTACTCTATGATACTGGTAGCAAAACTTCTTCAACAGAAACAATGTAGTGTATAAACATAATACACAAGTTTTCGGGGAACAAATGATAGATCTGTTGTATTACTGTTAAATATTTATCAAATAGTCTTTGACAGAAATAAAACATGGTCAATATTAAAACTTTAAAACAGTCTTACTCTTTTCCATCCATATCAAGCAGTGTCACTGATCTTCCCTTTGTTATAAGTATTGCTGAAAAACAGACAACCACAATAGTAAAACCATATATAAACCAATATAGATAAAACACATCAGGACAGCTTTGTACTTCATAGATCCATTCTAAAGAAAAGATATTCTAATTTTTTCAAATGTTAAGATTTATGGCTAGCATATAGCTTGTGCTAATATGTAAAAAGCTGTCCCTAAGTTTGTCAGAGATAATTATCAAAACTATTTAAATTACTTTTTTTCAAGGTAACTATGCTTTCACATCTGCATTTTAGAGTTAATTTGAAATACGTTATCAATATTCAGTCAGTGTTTAAAGTCATACATACAATCAGATATTGAAACCTGTGTCCAAACAAATCTTTAAAACACTCACCATCTCCTTCCCATTTTTTGTGCTGTTAAAAAAATAATTTATAGAAGATCAATAATTCAATATACAAAATATGTTTTGGAGTAAATAGCTGAGAATTCACACACATCAGGAAGGTCCTGCATGGTGTCAGAATCTAAACCTAAGTATTACACTGATCATAAATGTTTGTTTACTGCTTTATAGACACAAAAATTTTATAGTGATATATCCATGGAAATTTTAAAATTTGACCTTCACCTTTAACCTGTTGACTTTGACCTCTAGTCTGGCAATTTCTCATATTTCAACTAATAATGCTTCATTTTGTCATATCAAAATACTCGCTTGTAAAATATTTCAAATTCAATCTCAACCTTTAACCTAAATATTGCTATAAAATATGTCAAGTTTGACCTTGACCTTTGACCAAATGATCCTGACCTGTAGTTGGTCCACTCCAAATTTAATTTGCTGTCATATTTATGACAAATATTTTTTCCTGTATATTCCTTTCTATATTTATAGAAATGGTGACTTTAGCATTTGACCTCTGAACATGAACATGAAAAGCAACAAAATAACAATATGCTATCTATAGTAACTTTTGACTTCAAGACCAAAAAATCACTCCAACAAATGCACTGAGTAAAAGTTTGAGTGCAATTGCCTACACAGAACTTGAACTATTATGCCTTAGCTAAACAACAGACAAACAACCCTTTTACTGCGGGGCACCCATATATTCTATGCAAGGTCATAAATAATCAAATACTTGGTAGAGCATACAACATCTTCGACAAACGACAAGCATACCTTCTTGTTTGATCTCTTACACCACATGACATTCAGGTATCTGGTCTGTCCTTCAGTAGCTGTCTCTGAAATCATGTAAACATTATGTAGATAGGTAAATCATGGTATCATGGTAGCCATGAAAATTTATCAGTCTCTTTATTTCCTAATTAAGACAAATAACAGGATTCAACTGACACTTTTTATCATGCATTCAACTGTTATGGAGATCTCGAACTGTGATTTAACATGTATGATTCTGTACATACTTCACACATTGGACAAACAGACAGATACTTGTCAAACTACTGCATTTCAACTTGTCAGTCAAAAGGAAATTGTTTTACAACTTTTCTTAAAGAAATTTCTCGCATACCATTACCTTGTGCTCCATTTTTGTTAGTTTCCTGTGGAAGGCGATTGTCCACCGCTGATGAACGCACATGTAATGGTAATTTAAAATGATGTTTAGAGACTTTGTTGACTTCTTGTTGTGGTTCTGTCTGCTGTGTTCTGTTACAAGGCAAGAAACAAGTAAAATGAGACTTTTGAATACTTATAATTGATGTGAATACTACAGCTAAGATATGAATCTGGGGTCAATATTTAATTCAACTTTCATCAATTATCTTAACAAAACATGTCATATATGTACATGAGTTTTACATAAAATTAAGTCTCCATGACGTTATGTAACAAAGGGTCAGATTAAACAGCCTGAAACATTTATAGAGAATACATTGTCAATGTCTTAAAATACAAGTTGTATTTTGGCGAGGTGAAGAAAGACAAAAGTGGCGAGCCTCTGGTGAGCCAGAGCTTATATTTTAAGACACTGACCATGTATTCTATTTATCCTTCAACTTTGATTGATAATCAGACTATTGAAACTTAAACAGTTTTGGTATTCAATCTGTGTTTACCTGACATTGACGTTATGCTGAATTTTGGCTGATACCATACGTCAACATAATTGCTTCTCACGGAAACATACCCGGTAGTTCCAAACTTCATCTAATATATCAGCCATTTTATGAATTTTCATAAATCAACTTGTTCATTACAACATATAAAATCACTTATTTCAACAACTATTTATAATTCTAAGAGTGATATTTAAGTAAATTCAGAGAGTAATTCTGTCAAATTAACACACATGCTAAAATACAGCTTTCTTTTTGTCTCTGTTGAATACAGAAAATATATATGTGGCAGGCGTATTCAACGGCACTGCCAGTAGCAGGGTAAATCTAACTGCTACATAAGTATATTGTTTATCTGAATGTAATATAATTCTAAAACAGGTTCCACAATAGCAAACAAAATACTAACACTTCTGAATGCGTTACCACATTTTTCACATCTGTTTCTGGTTGAACGACTTTGGTGGTTATGTCTTGTTTTATTTGGGAAACTGATGTAGCCTGTGAAAAGACAATATATATGATCTTTAAAGTTGAATGCCACACATATTCTGTTAATAAGTTAGTCTTAGCTGTCTGTAAAGACTGGAACAATTATCTTTCTAATGTACATGGTACCTCTACATAACATAGCACAAAATGCTATATGAAAGTAACCAGTAATTAGGAAATACAGTATTTTATTGTCAGCATGTCTATTAATTCAACAAACTTAACATCTGCTGTTACAGCTTTTCCGCAGATGATTAGTCTGCATATAGTTCTCAGCTTTTAAAATGGTTCAATTCCTCATGCCAACACTGGTGATTTAATTAAGCTACCAAATATGCTACATATACCATGTAAATAGAAAGTTGATTTCAGAAGAAGCTATTGCTTTATCGTAATACTTTTTAAATTTTACCCGCTGTCAGTCAAGAATATCATATCTGATTTTCAGATTCTACAGATTATTAATTCAGGACTGACCATAAGAAGGATGCAAATTTTAAGTACTGATGAGAACTTCTACTTACCTGCTGATGATGACTGTCCTGGACTGGGGTCTTGAACGGAGCTGAAAACCTTGGACGTTTGGCCACACCTCCTTGACTCGGAGCCCCAGATCTCCTCATACTGCAATGCCTCAGTGGCTTAGCCCAAACCAAATGAGCAGTTTTACAACTGGAAAGAAAAACACTGCAAATTGCAAAATACTTATTGCTTTGTAAAACACTGTAGTAAATGAACACAATATTCAAACATATCTACACGTTCAGAATCTAAAGTCATCATCAGTTCTCTTCTTCAAAATAATCTGATTGACGACTATATGTTATATGTATTATTTGTACATGAATATGTATAGAGGAGTTTTTAGTTAATTTTCTTTCTGATGTGACAATATAGTAAAACTATGTTGATAGAGAGAAGGATTTAAAATGTGATGCAGGGAAGACAGCTCTTAAAAGCTCAACTGTATTAACTGCAGTGACCGAGTTATAAATGATATACATGGGGTAGGCTATAGGCTATTTAAACATTAGTGCTTACATTGATTTCGTGCTTTCTCCTACCTGGCCATACAACGCACATAATTTTATCGTAACATAGTCAGGACCACTGTAGCTAAATATAGAGATGTCCCTGCTAAATATCAGACTACTTTAGTGTTTGTCTCGGCCAGTACATGCGTGTGTGCCATCGTCGTTAAGAGGTGACATGTTGTGGAGTGTATGCATCCTCAAATTAGATGTCACCAATCAAGAATATACAGTGAAAATAGATGACCGAAAATAGATACCTTGGAGTGGCTACCCATATTTCGGACACTTGACAAAATTAAATGGGAAAATGCGCCGTCCTAAAGCCTTGAAGTTATTCCTACTTCTACATATCTTCCAAGAAAAAAATAATTTGCATTAAACAGTTGACATTTTAAACTTATAGTGTCATTTGCGATCTGCGTGTCTGTCGTGTTTCACATTTGCCGCCATTTTGTATGCAGAAGGTGATCCATTTCCAACCATAGTTGTCTTTCCTTGTCCCGCTAGGTGGGCCTCTCGGTTAAAAGACGTTAAAGGGGAAAAAGATAACGGCCGCGCGCGAGTTCTTCAGGCATTTGTTATTTTCATCACTAAACTTTACCCACTCCTAAGGAGAAATGTGAGACCGTGAGGTTATGATTTTTTTTATATAATTTTGTCAAAGCAAATTATAAATCATTCGATCCAAATATAGAATAAAATTTGGTTCTACCAAATCTTGATCTTGCGAAGGAGATTTTGGAATTTTCAGGCATTTTATTCCACTTGGACTCATGCATCTGCCCATGGAGTTCAGCCAGTGTCAATGTGTACATACCACCAATTCTAACAAATTTTAATTACTTCTAATTGAGATTAAACAGCCACTACTCTCTTTTTTCAATAAATTATAGCCTTGTCAACTTAACCTGTCTTACCAAGGCCGAAATGTGAGACAGGGGGTCGGCCTGCAAGGCAATGGATTCACAATTAGGGTAAAACATCTTCCCTTCCGGCACTGACATTAATAAAGACCCTGGATCTAGATAGAATATTCCAGGATTTTACTGTGTGACTCTCCAATTTATGCAATTTTGGGGTTCATGGACTTCAGTCATAAATGATTATGTGTATAATTTTATCGATTTTGAAATCCTTTGTCAAATTAACTGGGACAAGGATATGTTTTGGAGAATCGGGGATAACCTTGGTATTTGATTATATTGTATCTGGATCTTGAGAAGATTTTTTCAGTCTGACTCAGTTTTGCCCAACCTCTCATGCCACTGGGATAAATAAAATATAATTCACATTTCTTGTATCACTCGGTTTCTGCTGTAAAGAGGATTTTTGGAAGCCAAAAAGTGTTAATTGTTTGCGGTAAAATGACGGACGACGAAGTTTATTTAAACACTCTCCTAGACTCCGAACATATTTCCCCTGTGTAGGTGCCATGGAAATCATAACGAAGCACAATATCGCCCCAACCGCCCCAACCCTACACTAAAAATATCACCCATTCGTGTTTAATTCGCATAAATAATGCATCAACGAGTGGGAAATATTCAGCTGTTGTAAATCCTTCGCTTCTGAATGTTTATGCTACATTGAATATTCATGTTAAATTCTTAATCATACCCACAATGTGTGATACGTTTCCGACCCCATCAGGTAGATGTCTTGAATACAATTAATTGTGCCCTCTGGGATGAGAAAACTAATGTTGCCATTTGCTGGCGCTTTGATGTGTCAGCGGACAATATCTCCTAGAAAATATCATAGTAGGGTTATATCATAATTTAGTCATATTACTTTTATATATTTCCACGCTGATAGCACAAAAACAGAATCTAAAATAATGACACTAACTCCAAGTTATACTTAATCTGTAACCGTTTTGTGTTTTTCAAAAATATCTTTACACTCTAAGATAAACTTTGGTAATTTCTGAAGCCGCATTACAATTTTCGTATAAAAAAAGACATGGTAAAGACAGTCAAATTTTAAAAATTTTGAGGTCATTTTTTTTAGGTCGTTGCAGCTCTAAGACACATGGATTTGTTATTAATTTGTTAAACAGAACTGTTGTTGCTGTTTTATTTTGTTAGAGTTTCCGTCAGCCATAACGCTTTAATTTCCTGTTATTCATATAAATATATAAATATTGTGTTTCGGCTGTTTTGTTCGATTCAGATTGAGTTAAGTTGTAACCCCAGGTAAAGTAGTTTTCCTATTTGGCGAAACACGTTCTATTACGAGATCAGTAATGAATGTAACGAAACGCCCCCGTTTATGTAATATTTACACCTCGGTTTGGACTCGGTGAACCTACCTGTTGGCAATGCAAGTAGATCGACATTGGAAACAATCTACAAATCAATCATTCAACCCGACATCGCCGGAGATCTACTGATTTACAGTAAATGAGTGTACTTCACATTTGAATACATTTATTGAAGATATGTGTGAAATGATTGCGATATTGCCCCAGACAAGTTTTTAAGAAAAGTAATATTGGATGGAGTTTGTCTCGAGACGAGGTCAATATGCAGGCAGTCCTATAGCTTTGCACTCAGTTGGCCTCAAGGCCGTCTCATCACCCAGTTAGCGTGGCTATAATAAACTACAATATTTATCAAGTGCGTACTCAGTTTCGTTGAAACTGACAGCGTAATAGAAATGTTAACACTGATAACACAATTGATTTTTTTTATAAAATTGTAGGAAAACTGACATGATACCCGTATGTGATTCCAATGTAATTCATATAGAAAAAAAGGATAATACTAGATAATTATTCCCCCCCACACACACACATGCACGCACCCTCGCACACACACAAACACACACTCACACACACACACACATACACACACACACCCTCACAAACACACACACACACACACAACGTATACATTTGTGGAAAAAAAACCATAAAAATTACATTAAACAAGAGAACCGTGGGTGGAACAATATATGCCCGTACCATGGCAGAGAGAAACACTTTATTGTATTGAAATGATTAAAAGAATGAAAGAAACCTTAGAATTTCCAATTTAAGTGTCACAGAGAAAGCGAAAATGATTTATGTCAAGTAAGCAACCCTACCGCATGTGAAGGAAATTGGTTGTGAAAATTGAAAGTGTAAACACGGAGAATAACTTGTTCTAAAATTGTCTTCAGAAATGGCTGACAGCTGAGTTCTTGTGTAAAAGTTGTGATACTAGAAACACGACTACCTATAATATCTATCAGTGGTTTCGTTCAGTTTGGAGTGTTGGGTTTCCTGTTTGAAATTTTGGCAACAAATAATTATGAAAATGCTTTCAATAGTGTAACCAGAAAATCATCCTATAGTGCTATCTCACTGAAATACAACAGGCATCCACCCATTCAAGGCAGTGAATTCTAAAGAACTTGGGTTGTCTCGGTCAGGAGACAGAACACACATAATTGCTTTGACGATCACTCAAGATCCAGACTATAAAACAAGTACGTATAGAGGAAAGAAACATATATACAAGTGTCGAAGCAATTAGAATTCCAAATGCTGCAATGGAACACATGATTTTATATATAAAAAAAACCCTATAATTTTATTGATGCTAGTCGCTATTTCAATCGCACATTTAGTCTATCCTGCTGGTAATATATTATCAGCATCGTACTTGTCTTCTACTGTGCATGTCATCTCTTCTTCCTGAACATTTCTCATGACAATACATTAGGTTTTCCCCTCAGTGTTTGTGTGGTGTTGAGTGCAGCGCAAATGAGGGACAACTAATGAAAGACCAGGTAACTACCCAACCGGTAGTGTGCCATTCTAGTACCATTGATAAGTCAGGTCATTACGGTGTGATGACACTATAATTATGTCTTTGAGAGACACCTGTGAGCACAATCTTCAAATTATTTATTATGAAAACGTTATACCCCTTACAAATATAGTACTGACACCTAATGTAACGACGTCTGACCTTTATCAACTTCCGCGTTAACATTCACAAAAAAGGTAAAAAAAAAGTATGTGGAATGTTGAACACAAAGACAACACATCTAGAATTTCTTCTGTTTTATACATGCCGTTTGTATGAAATACTTCTATGTTAAAGCCGACACGGACGATTTAACTGTACACCCATTCACCGACGCTAATACCCAAGGATTTTAATATGTATAACATCAGTTTGTACTTGTTCACGTACATTCCCTCTCTACAATCATATAAAACATTCAGTAATACAAAGCTGGTATGGTCGAACGCCAGATCGAACAGTGAGATTTAAAGCCTGTATGGTTAGCACGCAAGTGACAAACCACCGTTATTTCGTCCCGTTGATAGTTCTGACAGCCATACCACATATCTTACATTGAAAGCTGTTGACATTGTGTGATATCTTTTCCAGATTTCTTCCGTAAATGTTATATATACATAAAGGATTTAGGACGGTTCGTTCCCTACCTATGATTTACCTGTGATTTAACTGTGAAAGGTGACTATCTACCTTATATTTACCGGTGTCGTTTGGCAGGTGAGATCAGTATTTATAGTTACACGACAAGGTGTGTTCGATCAAGGATTTACCGGCTTGAACAATCATTGCTGTGAAAGGTAACTTACAAGCTTTTAATACTTTTGATATAAGTTATCTCCTATGAGTAAATTTTAACAATGCCAGATCAAACGTGTTGCCAATATTTATTGAATTTCTATGATAATATGTCAATGTATACAGAGAGTCAATAATAATCGGAGTTTACCGACTTCTTTCCTTATTGTTGAATTTTTCACTGTAACTAGTTCATTAGCGATTTTGTGTTGATATCAAATTAATGTAAAATATTCCAATTATGGATAAAAGAAGAACGGACAGTCAGTCAGTCAGACAGACGGACATTCTTTATTTTCTCCAATAGAAGGACATAAAGAATGTCTATCTCATATAATTAAAAGTAGAACACTATTGATATACATGGATAAAAAATAAAAATTTTCATAACAGGATTTGAGGTATATAAACTATTTACTAACTAAAACAAGAACAAATCATTTTCTGTAATATTTCATAATGAGGGAGGTTGAAACTGTTTCAACTACACGTACATGTATATAAAGTACTTCCACAAAAAAAAAAATCGAAAATTTCATAATAACTATTTCATACTTCCTTTGTAGTGTGCTTCTTTCAACCAAAGACGTATTTATAAACATATTTTATGATTTCGTTCAGGAAGTTCTCAATTTCATTCACCATACCCTTGTACTAGGTATCTCGTTGTAATACCGTTCATGTATAGGGCACTATCTATTGTAGTAGGCATTGATTCA